TGTCTCTCACGGCGGGAAAGGAAGGGGAAAACTTTGTACTGCTGACATACCAACACGGGTTTGATGTTCCTACGGCCCTCATCTGGCACTGGCTCAACTTCGCACTTGAAAATACGTGGTAAATAAATATGGAAATTATGCCTATGTGCATAAAAGGTCATTTAAATGCAATAATGAGACGAACTAAATGTTCGTGTTTTTTCCGGTTTTGTAAATAATAGTTAGTCAAGGTTAAAACAAAAGGAGAATTCAGAAGGAGGAATTCTCCAAGAGGCACCGGTTGATATTTAGGTGTGGTCGCATATGACTCCACTAGCTAGCTAAGGAAATCACGGCTTTTTCTTTTCTCACTGCTCCTTAATAAAAATAGATATTACCCTTGAAAAATAAGCACCTTAGTAGAAACAATACGTACCTAAGAGTCTTTTTTAGTCATCAAACGCTCAGACAACTAAACTGGTCGGTACAGAGGAACGTAAAGTTTTTTCATATTATTTAGTGTTGTATAGCATTTGTTATCGGCTTTTTTGCACCTATCTCGAAGTACTGGCGCCAGTGGTATTTAGAAGTTTAAAAAGCAACTTGTCGGCGCTTAAAAAGTCAACCGCAATGCATTTGGGAAAATTCGGCTTATGCATGAAATACCTTTTTCTCCAGGAGATGACGGTTAAAAGTTATACTCGGCCACAACCCGTCGGCCATTTGTCACCACTTTTGAGGTCCAAGTGTCTCGGCATGTCATAGCAAGAAGAACACAAATAAGACCAATTCTGATAATCGACCAAGGAAAGTAACATACTTGGTACTTAATAATTCGACATAGCTATTTTCAAGCGATCCCAGATCTTAGATTATCAATCAGTATTTGGAGTGCTGATAAATACTTTTCTAATGAGAGGCTATAATTAGTTTTCGAGAGAGGAATTTATGCGAAGGAGATCCCCCTCTCTTTTAATTGCGTCGCACACGGTGTGTGAGATGACTCAGTTCCGGTTTAAATGGAGGTAAGCTGAGATACATATTTGTATTAGCGCCTGTGAGCTACTGTTTAAAAATGTCCTACACAATACGCAGACGAAATCGATCATTATGGAAGTTCACAGTTTGCGTGGCTGCTTTGACATTAAATGTTCCATGACCAGACAGAAGTAAAACTTGAAATTCTCTCCTGTACCTTGCCTCATTGCGGTTAATTAGTCCTTATTGCCAAGAAAGGATTAAAGGAGGTTATTATATGGCTGAATCCGCAAGCGGACAAGATAAAGCAAATCCTGCGTTCTGATTGGCTACACGAGTTGTCAAGATGGGCCCATCTTTCCCGCTTGGGATATACCCGTGTTGATCCCGCAAAGAAAAAGTTCTCTTTTTGGCCATTTAATAAATCCTTTATTAACGAGGATTGTTCGGTAACTGTGGCTGGATATTTACTTTGTTCTTTTTTTTCATTTTTACTGACCTCGACTTCGTCTCACAAAACTCCAAAAAGGAACTTGGCCAATATCCAGGCATGTCAATCTCACACTTGGTTAATCCAACACCGACAACCGTATCATAATTATAAAGTTAACGCTTCTAGTAACTACCCCGATAAAGGCTAGTCGACCCACATTCCCTGCCCTCGATAATAGATATAATGTATGCCATGTATTGTGTTATTATTATTACCATCATCATCACCATTATTATTATGATTATTATTATTATTATTGCTATCATATCAATTACAAATCACTACTACTGGTTAGAAAGGGAAAATCATTGCATTTGTAATTTTATTACGTCAAAGAAAATCACTCAAATGCTGCTAGACAGCCTTCAAGGACAGCAGCGATAACGAGTGTTCCCTTTGAAACAAGCTACAGCAGTGGTGATCAAAATACATTTTGCATTTACTGGGTTTTTATTAAGCTTCAAATCGAGTGCATTAATTTTTTTGCGTTCACGGCTAGACGGGCCTATAAATGGGTGAGGAACGGGGAGGAGGGTGGAGTGGGGGGCTTAAAAGAGGCAGCGGCCTAATGAAACCCGAAGACCACCTTTGGGTCATGCAAATCAATTTTTCATAATTATCATCAGGTGTCTTTAAATTTAACTAAACATTTAACTAAACGTGAGTGTAAAGCATATAGGGGGTTCTTACCCGACGTCACACCCGCCAGAAACATTGAAACGGTGGCCGCCATGTTGGTGTTCCAAACAAATCGTGTGGGTGTAAAAGGTTCTTCACAAACTAGGAGACTTATAAGACAGCCTGAAGTTAATTCGTGAGTTTGAGTACTGATTTGAGACTGTAGGATATCAATCATATAAATCCACTTAAAACTCGATTTAATACCGACTGCTTTTTCTCACGCCAAGTCTCGGCCCAGGCTTTCAGCTAATCGCATTATTAACGACTGGTAAACAGGGTAAAATTATGTTTGAGAAGGTAAAACGCTAGCTCCACAATGTTGTCGTTGGTCGCAAAATAACATGGTTGAAGGAGATTACTAGACTTTGGTTCGGGTCCATTTGCAAAAATAATGATCATTTATGTAATTCGCACAAATAATATGATAACATATTACGTACTAATAAACTTGATATCGGACTTGTGAGTGCCGCCGTGGATTATGCGTTTAAAACGCAGCCGACTTGTCTCAGCTCCGGGCAAATGTTTACTCGCAGGTACGCGCAAAGCTGGTAAAATGCTTCGTAATCCTCGATTTAATAAGCAAAATTAATTGAATATTTAACTATACCAATATACGTAATCAAGTCTATGAGGTCTTGGTTAAACAAAACATATTGCACCTGGTTATTGATACTAGCCAGTTATAGGGCCTGCCCAGCAGTTTTGCAAGTATGGGTGTGTGTGTGTGTGTGCGTGCGTGGGGGGCTGGATTCAAGAAGCGACGGGAGGGGGGGGGGGGGGTATACTAGGGCTTTTCTAATCCCGGTCAAACGTAGCCTTCAACGCAGACGTTACGTTCTTTTGGCTCGTCATGCAAATAGGTATAGCTATTATAAGAATAGTACGATGTTTCTAGCAAAAAACGAATTGATACTGAATGCAGTGGTGCTTTCCACTTTTCAAGAACAGCCTGAAATTTCTATCTCTCTCTTCCGGCTTTTCTTGTTCATAAGCTAGACTACGAAGGATGACGTGGGGCTAATAAACTTGATCTTCCGATGTCTACAACATCATGAAAAACCTTTTTATTCACAAATCTGCGGGATAGAATTAAGGGCTGCATGATACAGATAAGACTTGATCATTACGTATACGTCCTTCTTGAACGAAAACTGTTACAAGAAGAAAAAACAAAGAAATCAAAGAAAAAATAATTGCTCTTTCTTCGGCTCGTACTTTCCGTAGCTTAACTAAGTAATTTATTGCAGCGTTTTCAAAAGTCGATAAATTCCATCGGTGCTGGAATCAGTACAGACTCCTTACATTTTGTTTCATAGCAAGATCTGTTATCCAGCCAATGACCCTCCGAACAGAGGCAACTTATAGTTCGTACGCGAGTTCATATCGAGGAAAAAGAGCCCCCGTTCTCACTCATTCCAAAGAAAAATTGTTTCGTTAATGCCTGTTACATGGACCTTTTTGTGCTCTTGTCCGACTTAAAGCGGCGATTTTACCTGCATTTCCCAGTCCTTATGAGGCGGTTCCACAGGGTGCAAGTAATAAATACTTTAATTGCCTCCTCTTTAAGTATTTGGTAACTCACACTCACGCAAAAAGCATGAAGTGGCGGCATGAAGTGTACGGACAGTTTACAGATAGCACGAAAAAGACACTTCTACAGCGTCATTTACAATAAATTTTGCACCTTCACGTACAATCCTTACTCTGACTCTATTATTCTCTGTTTTGGACGGGAGTGAAAACTAGATCCTTAGTCTAAAGTAAAAAAAAAAACTTTTTTAGTGAAGAACTTAAAGAAATTATTATTTCTTTACTTTGCCAAAAATGGGGTGGGGTTGGGGTAAGGTCCCCCTTGCCCCTTCCTTCCGAGGACCATGTTCGAACGGAAAAGGGCATAGTCCACACTGTATTAATTTAATCATTTATTCATCACGGAAAATCATCAGTTTACTATATAATTATAAAAGATGAATTTCTTTAAGCTACAATTATCAACTAAAATAAATGCAAAGAAGATGAACTAATAATCAGCTGGTGTCTGCGATAAATGCCCCGTGGGAGCCGAAAGAAGGAAAATAATCTTTCAGCTTGTTTTTGAAAAATCCCAGAAGTTAAATTGTATAAGATCATACTGTGGTAGAGAATCTATAAGGCGGCACCATATAGAAGAAGTTAATGGGCTGCAGGCACCCTTCTTAGGGTTTAGGCAATAAAACTAAGGTTGTTCACCCATCTTGAAATGCCCATAACCGCCCGTTCGATCCACATCTCACTTGTGACGTCATCGGTTTTAAGGATCATAGTCAACTTTGACACTTAACTTACGCAAGGATAAAGAATCTTTCAACCTGGCCTTGTGCTTTGGTAGGTTGGAGATCAACTTTCCCTACCCAAAAAGTGCGTCCAGAAGAGAAGAACGACACTATCAAATCTGCGCTTCCGCAAGGGGCGCTGTAAAAACGCCATAACTATAACTAGTTCATCAAGAAAATATGAATGGAATTATTACTTTTAGTCTGTTAACACCCTCCTGCTTGTTTTGCCCGATTTTCTTAGCAAAAAGATAAATCCCAATAATTAGAAAGTGAGCGAGTGATTGAAGATTGCAAGGAAGGTTGACTTGAAAAAACATTCCTGCTAGTTTACTAAGCTATATAATGTAACTCTTTGATTCACCATAGAGTAAGTTCCTCATTTTTCTTCTTTTTTTATGGTTCTTATTCTTTTCTATATATTACTAATTATTTTGTTACCAAAGACTATTCATTTGACTCGAGTTTCTACCGAAGGGCAATAATAACTGCCAATTTTTGGAAGAAATTGTTACTGTACTACTACCAGAGGAAACGAAATATCATTAGCTACACTAAGCGTAGATGTTTTCAAACCTAAAGACCTCCATTTCACTTAAGGTAAAACTCGAATTTCCTGTCAAGAAGGTGCCAGCATTCTGTCCTGTCGGTAGCTGGTACGTGTTATTGAGACTTGCACTGCAGCTGTTTGAATTTGGGGCGTTGACAATTCTGAGGTCTGGACCATCCCCAAATGTAGGGCCATAGCTACTGTAGCAATGGATGGCCGAACCCTCTTTTCCTTGTATCAAAGACATCATTGAAGGTTCAAGGCCATTCGGATTGACGAGACTGAACAGGAAGGAGGCTGGAGCTTTTTTATACGTTCCACTTGAAAGAGCTGACGAAAACATTGTATGCAACAGTATTAGACATGAAGTTTTCGAGAAAATTACTGTTCACAGTTAGAGTACTTATGATATAGTTACACTTTTAGAAATAACTTCGAGTGGACAGGTGTAGCAGTTAGAATGAAGATGGATTGTTGGCACCTGAATAACTACGAAATCATTACCCCCACTCTCTTTAAGAACTTGATCTTAAGCGATCCAAAGGTCCCTTCAACAGCAACATACCAACTATTTGGTTTCAAATTTCAAGGAGGACCGGGAATTTTCTTCGCCTTCCATACTGCCTTACGTTAACCCCGGAATTTTCCAATTTTCGTGTTTCGTGGTGCAGTATGCGTATCGAATTTCAAGAAGCAAATTTTAAAAATGTCAATATTTTTGGTCGAATGAATCGCTTTCGTGTCTCTCCGTTAGAAACGAAAACTAACGTTATTGTATATTGCGCCCATCAAGGCACGCACAACGCTTTCCTAACTGTCCCGTAAACCAAGGAGAATTCTTAAGGTTTAACCCGAATGTCTGTGTTTTAGAGCGTCTCATAACAATAAATCCACTTAGAACTCATACTGATTATTCCGAGAAATCACTTGGGTATAGATATCGAATGGGTACTTAGACAATGCTAAATAACTTCATAAAAAAGCAAAATATTTTCCAAAAATAACTTGCCTTCCCAATACTGCTCTGTGTAGCCTCCAAATATGTAGTTCCCACACTTAATAACGGTAACAGTTGGTCCTTTGCGGTCGCAGCAAGAGTGAAAGTTGGATGCAGCCCAGCCATCACGAGAGGCTCGATATATCAGGGAGTAGGTGTGACAAGCGCTTGTCAGGGTGCCTTTCAACCAGCTGGCCAAGATTTGGCGATGCTCCACAGACAGGATGGAGGAATTTTCAAAGGGGGAGACCTTCATTTCATCAATAATTCCTTTAATTTGATAAAACTCAGCTTCAGTTAACAACTCTCTTCGAAGAATCTTATCTTCGGGAAGAACAAGCTGCCCCGAGCGAAGGTAGTTTAGGATAAGACGGAAGTGAGTCCCATCGCGATCAATGAAGTAACATCCGTCTTCAGCGGGTTTGGAGTCAAATCGCCCGGAAAACATGGCGTACAACATTGAACCTGTTATCGAGTATAAACGAACAAACACTTCAGTTAGGGAATAGAAGCGAAAATCTATATTTTACACTGAATACAATTGAAATCAGACGCCTTGCAGTTAATTGGCACCTGATTTTTATGGTAAATCTTTTAGTGATCGACGCAATGAACAAATACATACCTGGATCACTCTTCATAGTTTCCAAACTGGTATCAAATACTTTACCACCGACATTCAGTTTCAGCATTTTGGAGAAATGAACGCTTTTCAGCTTCTTGGCCACCGCATCAAAAGCTTCCATTTCCTTCCTAAGCTTTACTTTTTCACTCTCAAGAATCTCAAACACTTTCTTGATGTGTCTGTTTACTTCATCAAGCGCTTCACTGCTAGAAGCTGTTTCTTCCTCAGGGTCTCGAGATGAAGACAACATTCTGTTCCTCTTGCTACACAGAAAACGACTCTTAAGCTGGTTTTTAATAATCGACTGTGGAAACCGGAACAACACACTGGAAAGCGAAAGTACCCTCGTACAATAAACATTATACTACGTATATCGCTCTTTTTGTTTTTAATGGTTGGAGTCTTTCACCTTTTGTGCGGCTATTGGTTAATCAACAATGTGCGATTTTCATTTTTCTGTACATTGAGCAGCAGTTTTGATTCCCGGAAAGTAATTTAGGCGAATTAACGGAATTAATATTAACGTCCATTCCTTAAAGAGTATTTTTTCTGAAAAGTAAGCCAGTGTTTCACTGAGGTATTCAGATACGTCCCAGAAGGCTTTAGCAAACAGTTTATGTTCAAATATACTTAACAGTATATTATTATTTTAGTCCATATTTCACAATTGTAATATATAGATTTAGTAAAATTCAACTAGTGGTCTATTATCAATGCTGCATCCTGATTGGTTGAGCTACTACTAGGCTATATGTATGATAGCCCACCAGTAGCGAAAATCGCCGGCTTTTTGGCGGCAAAAAAGGATTAAAGTTGTTTTGTCTCGATATTTTTGACCAACTAGTTGGATTTTACTAAAACAATTATTCCTCTCGCCCTCATGGCCTCTGAGTCAATAGCCTTCGGCCACATGGGCTATTGACTCAGAGCCCATTCGGGCTCGAAGAATAATTGTTAATTAGCAAGCAGGGCTAAAAGCGAAGCTCTGAGCGTTATTATACTAACTTATAATTTACTACACACACAAAAAAAATCGTGTAATGCTAACGGGCGACGGCAATTAGAAAAATCAAACAAACAAATTAGCAAAAAAAGAAACAAACACTTACAAAAACAATATTTCTTATTAGCCAAAAATAACTTTGCTGGTGAGCACAGTTTTTTGTACATTTCTTTGCCCGGCCGTTGATGTGACAGGACTACAACGTGAAACTTTCTCAGTACACGAATTCGTACTGAACAAGCGATAGCGAGGTCAATAGATCAAGGCCGAGGTCTGAGATTTCCTTATAATGTCCGAACGGACGAGGTTAATAAGTTATTGATCTTAGGAGGCAGCGTGGCCGAGTGGTCAGCGTGTCGGACTCGCTATCCGGCGGTCCTGGGTTCGAGTCCCGCTCTGGCCACTTGCTGGATTTGTGCTCGGTCGTCCCGAGTTCAAATTCTCGGCCACGCTTGTAAATAGCCAACTGGTTGCCTCCTGCCAGTTGGGGTTTTTAAATGTTATGTTGTATTTGAATTATTTGTTTCTAAGTATTTGAGTGGAGTGCCTGTAAATTAGCTGACTAGCTAAGAGCACCTTTCCACTATAAACATGCCTTTAACCTCCATGTGACACTGGTCGCGTACTATTGTAGCCATACAATAAATTCACTGAATCAAGGACTTAAATGACCAGTGAATGTTATGTTATACCTTCCGAGAAACGTTAAATGACGTGCTATCGCCAGTCTCAATAAACAAGTGAAAACTAGCGCAAATCAGACCATATTTACTGCAATTATCGACTATAAAGCTTTGAATCAAATATTAGGAATGAAAGCTGCATTTAACAAACTTGAATAGAAAATAGAACATTTCCGTCTTAAATCAGTATGTAATCCTTTCTGGGATGATAGTACTTGTTGCTTTATTTGTGCTTGTTGAACGAAGTATCACTGGACCACCGCGACGAAGTGTTTTTTTCTCCTAGTCAGAAGTAATTATGCCTACATGACCATGCACACACAGTAAAGTAACATTCTTCAGACACAATTGAGCCGATAGGATAATATTCGACTCACAGACTTACACGTGGTTTTGTTAAACAACATCTAAACTTGTCTCCGTCTTCGTCTTCGGCCCTTTTTAGTAATGTGAAGGCGAAAGACAGGCAGAGCGAGTTTAAGCCAACCTAGCCTTTCCCTTCCCATTTTCTAAAGGCAAAGCCCAGTGGAAACAAGTTTGAAGTTTTAAGTATCACTGCTAAATGTGGACGCGGAACTTACGTGGGGTTTCATTTTCCCGGGAGCCCAAGCTTTGAATATGTGTAAGTTAAGAACGAATGTCGCTAAGGATTGAGCAAAATTGGAAATGGTCAAACGAAACCTTCCCTCATACTTTGTGTGTAGTTAGTACTTCGATCAGATGAAACTACTCACTGTGCTGTGACTAGCCGGTAGAAATTTACGTACTTTTTATTATTTTTATTATTTCTTCTTGTTTCTTGTTTCTGTGTCATTCAATTTTCCAGGACCTTTCTAATTGTTGGATGCGAAGAAGGAACAGGCAGTAATTTTATTTGTTATGCTTATCGGCCGAAGTCACGCACGGCAGTAACTGCATGTTAGGCAATAATAGAATAGCTGGGTTATTCACTGTCTTATTTATAAGCAATGCCTGTCACAATCTCTTGCAGCAACCAAAGCCTTCTATTCTCTCCTTCATTGCTACTTTTGTTCAAGCCGAAAACTGTTCAGAATATTGTTGTTATTGTTTTCATCTATTTTCGCAAGGTTATCAGCTGCAATAATCGGTTTAACTGTCAACAAAATACTCGGGTATAATGCTTTAATGCTCTTAGCAGTGGAAAAATAAATTATAACTCCATTTCTAGCATAAAATCTTCAGCAAGAATCAACGACAGCAATTGTTAGGCAATTTTTACAAAATATATTTTTGTAAAAAAGCTGTCCTTTTACAAATAAATATAAGTGTAAAAAAACAGCTTTCTTACGGTACCATTTTTTTTTACACAATATATATATATATATATATATATATATATATATATATATATATATATATATATATATATATATATATATATATTTGAACTCACAATTACTGACCTTGGTCGTTTTACTGATGCAGTGTCCTCACACACAGTTGACCGGCCTTTTTCCCCTTTGATTTTGTTTTCTAAACTTGCGCTTGCGTTGCAAACGATGACCAGCGCTAAGAATCTAAAGACAATCAGTTGACTTGCGAAAAACGCTTTGTGACTAATGTAGACAACTGGGAACATAAATTCTTGCTTTTAATTGTAAAACACGACTATTTTAAAATTTTTGTGTAGGAAAATATGTTGTAGTCACAAAATTTGAACTAAATTTCAAAGGAAACTATGTAGAGCATTTGCGGCATTTTTCACATATTTAATGTGACGCAAATCATGGGTCGGTTTTATGAACTTCCACAGAGGAAACAAAACAAAATTTTGTTTTTTAGGCCTCATTTGATTGCCCCTGTGTGATAGTAAAGAAATAGAAGTAAGCAGTTTAAATTTCAGCAACGTGATCTATTTTAACTCACACCCACTGACCTCGGTCGTTTTGCCTGTGCAGCGTCCTCACACACCGTTTACTACTTTTTTCCTGTTGCTTTTGTTTTCTGAATTTGCAGCTTGCGTTGCAAACGATAACTAGCGCTATGAATCTAAAGATAATTTAACCTGCATTTAACCGCTTTGCGATTAATGTAGACAACGCGTACATAAACAATCAAGAAGCAAAAATTGCTAGTTTTAGTTTCATCCAATAGCGTCTTCTCAGAAACTAGCTGTGTCGTAGTAGAGTAGTAATTTAAATAAATAATTTGTGCGGGGATTCCACAATTAGCGCAATTGTCTATCATTGCTCATTTCCCGTTTAAAAGTCAAATGAGGTCACTGCGCTCTCCTTAACAACTTAAACCAATGAAATACTTGCTTCTCGTGAGAGGCTTTTACTAGGCAGGCAGGTGATGTGTCAAAAAATTTTGTATAGCCGTCTAAATGGCTACAACGTTTTTATTCCCCATTCCTCTTAGAACTATTTAAAAAAAACAGTACATTTATAATTTTTCATGAAAGTCGTTAGGCTTTGTTAGGTTTTGCAAATATTCTACTTTGCGCTATTTCCGGACGCTTTTTACATAAACTGTGATGGGCTAGAGATGACACAACCATTTACAAATTTCAATTTGTGTAAGACAACCATTAAATTTCGACGACAGTCTCCACATAATTTTCCCATTTTTATCATAACAGCGAGGACAAATTGAAAAAAGGGAGCAAAACATTACGTGTGTGATTGTCTGGGAAAATAGGGTCACCCGGTTCGAAAAATAGACCCCATTTTATACAAGACTTGAAACACGAACGATAAAAAATTCTATACAGATAATTCGTTGTCCAGTGTGACAAGTGGCTGAAAGTTAAGCTTTAACTTATTAGGTAATAACTATTTTTATCCTCCAATTACAGGTCGGAGCCATTCCTGTATTTAGTCGCTCGTCATGTCTTTTCGTTGAAACTCCTTCTTTTATCTTCCCATCTTCAATGCACACCTCTAAGTTCCTTTCACTTTGACAACCTGCCAATTTACTACAACTGCTTATAAAAAGACGTAATGTTCTTCACCAGGAGCCTATCAGGTCATCGCTTTTGCACGTGGTGCTTAACTGGCGAAATCCAGTCCACGGCGATGACAAAAATAAATGATCCTGGCACTTTTTCGGCGCTGATCATCGAAAAGTTTCAAATCGTCCACAGAACGCTTAATCGTCGACTCTTTTGAAGGTGCATGCTTAAATGTGGGATGTATGACGGCAAAAAAAAAAAAACAAAAACAAACACTCGCAAAGAACCTTTCCGTGATCCTCAGTTCGCTGCCTTTGTCCCATCGCTTCATGCTTAGTCTCAGTCGGGTAATTCATTAACTTTTATTTCATCCCAGATCCCAGCGGCTGTAAAACTGTAAAAATGGACGTATAGTAAAAAAGGAAAACGGTCGAAGGACGGGCTTCTGAGTTCGACTTCATCCAACTTCATTTTTTTCACGGTGACATACGAGACTCACGTAAATATGACACTTTTCGCGGGAAACAAGCCGTTCTATTTATAAATCTACTCGGGAAAGGGTTGACTCAAGAAATTAATGGAGATGGAGGCTCCATTTGATGGGCCCCTGTCTTCACCGCGAAAGAAAATGTAGAAAATGGTGTTCTGTTTGATTGTCTTGTAATTTTCCAGGGGACTGTTCAAGGTAACGTATCTTAGTCACGCAATTTGTCACGTCCTAAGGGCTACCCTTGACACCCGGGGGTACTTTAGGAATTTTTGGGTGGGGATGTGTCGCTGGGACCCTGGAACCCTTAGCCTACCCTATACTAGGCTAAACTCCCCAAATCTCCTCCTATCCTAGAGTAGCTGTTTTCCAGAAACCACTGAGGTCACTAGCACAGTCCAGCCAAAAGAAAACCGATTTGATTTTTTTATATTCTTGAGTAGCAATTCCCGGTTTCCCTAGTCTAGACTAAAATCTTCAGCCAATCGATCAGTTTAAATGGAAAATGATACCCTCTTTTAGACCTAAACTCTCTGATTTATATACCCTATCCCAGAGTAAACTGCTTGAAAACCATACCCTTCACAGGGGCACATACCTATATAGACCATATATGGCAGTACCCCCCAGGCCTTGACACCATTATTTTATAATACAGTACTTCTTTTCTCTACTGTGCGAATATTAAAATCTTTAAGAACTCACAAAAGTCTTATTAAGTATAATGTCAGAAAAACAGTGAACACCATTTTATTTAGACTTGAACCCTTCTGAAAATGCTATTTAACCTGTTTGAATTGGACATATCATGACATATTGTTGATCAAATTCAAAGCCGACTTGAATCCCGGGGGGTACTCCCTACAATGGCCTCCTATACGGAGAGGCTCCACCCGAAAGGGGTACCATTTTCAGGCTTTAAGTATATGAGAGGGTTGGGATTTCACTTGTTGAAGTATATGAAAGGATAGGGAAACTGTCATTTCGGTTGGTAAAAAAGCCCAAAAAGTGCTTACAAATGCATTACATGGCTGTGAAAAGAGCTGCGTAAACGGTCTGGTTTTGTGATTTATTCCTATTTTAAAGGCAGTGCATTTACAACAGTTAAGAGGGATGCAAATTTCTAAACTAGGCCTGTAAGACGGGTACCATTGCCAACAGAAGGTATACGAAGGGGGACCTTCTCTGTCATAAAATGGTATATAAAAGGGTAAGGGGTTGGACCTCGGGGCAGAGCGTCCCCGTCGTAAACTTTGCTAAGAACCCCCGGAGCTTCAATCTTTGCTGAATTCCTGAAGATGCCTTGCTTCCATAAAGAACAAGGTGAAATTATTGTTAACAAAATTTCCACCGTTAATAAGTGTACTAGAGATATTACCGGACATTTTGCAAGTATTGCAGCTGAAGGTCCTGAAGGAGACGACAAAAATGAATCCGAGTCAGAATTTTTTGGCGGCACTTCCATTTCATGCATGGTAAAAGACAAAAAGAATTTACGTAAGCTTTATTAAGCATAATAACAGCCGGGTGTTTTTCTTTTTTTTTTTTCAAAGAAATTTACTTATTCGTGGCTTTCCCACGAACGTCCCGTAGTAATTTAATTTCATTATAAAAAATCATCCTTTACTTTATAATTAAGCAGAATTGAAATGAGCTTAACTAAAAAAAGCTGTAAGAATTTCAGAATTGTTTCAGGCTCCCTAAATTGACATTAAGAATAAAGCTTGTAGGTTATTGAGGAACGACTTTGGTGCAATGTCATAAGAAACATGTGCTTTGCAAGTCGCTTTGCAAGCGACGGAAGCATAATAGTGCCCAGTCTCCTTTTGCGCAAATTGTTTATGTGCCGCAATCTCTTGTGCCAGGAATTTGGCAAAACCCGCTTCCCCTTACAGGACCGGCTCACAGCCATACAGTAGATACCAAGCATAAGACGATTAAAGCGTAAACCGTATAGTGTGACTGGCCCCTTCCGTCAAATAATCCCACAAAGTTGCGATTAAATAAGCGTCTCGCGGGGCTCCCACTCCTTGTATGACATGAAACACCAAAGTGTCTCCAAAAATCTGACCCAGACTTCAGTTTCGTCGAGTCCGGTGGTAGTGTAATTCAATTCCGCCTAGCTTGTTGACTTGTTCTGTTTTGGAGCAAGGCCTTCATACAAATTCAGGAAGACAAGTCGGCTTTGAAACTTTTTGATCAGCAAGCTGTCCAACCGAACAGATCAAATGGCACTTTCTTTCTAAATCTACATAGGATTGGGCACACTGTTTTTCTGATTTTATGCTTAATGAAACTTACACAAATTCATGAAGATTCTAATATTTATGTTGTAGGGGAAAGAATTACAAAATCAACGCTGCGCTTGTACCTTGAAGACAGTGTGTTGGACATGTAAGAGAATCCAACAGAGTAACATTTGCATGCACGGTAAGGAAAAATATGTTTCTGCCCATCATAAGCAGCTGCAGTAATTTGGCAGGGTGTCAGCGTGAAAGGAAACTTTGTAGATATGCACTGAAGATGAGGGAAGGGATTTGAATGCGACGACATGCATTACTATATCGCGGATGAGACCTAAACGAACTGTAGCCTGCGTGGCAGGCGTTAAAAGGGGAAGGGGAAGGGGGAATTTGGGAGCGCGAGTGAGCGTGAGGCTTTAAATCCCCTCCCCTTTCGTTTCGAACGCCTGCCACGCAAGCTTAACGAACCGTGACTTGTGTGACTTGACTTGAATGTTTCTCGTATTTATTGCTTTGTTAATGGTACATAATATGTCAGTTATCTATTACTATTATTCATCCAAAATATTTCCCCGATTCTGATTGGCTAAAAGCATACGCATAATTCACCATAACCAGCTACTGATGACCAAATTTGGAAGAATTTTGTGTTTAACTAGGAAATGACGTCAAAAATGCAGCGTTCTTGCAGGTTAATGTACCATTAACCGGGGAGACCTGGGGACGAGGTTGAGTTGTTTTGGTTGTGAAAACAAAAAATGGCGGACATTTCACTCGGTTAAAGAGTAAGAACTAGGCGAAATTATAGCTAAAAACATGGCAAGAACACAACTCGAAGGGCGACATCTGCTATTTGGAGAATATTTGCGGAGCTGAACAACCCTAAAGTGCACTATCGAAGGTGAACTTAACATCGATGGAGGTAAGCATGCTTTAGCTTTGTTTTTAAACTAGGAATTATTTTGAATGAATAATAAAACAATTATTGAATTCGGCTTTCGTATTATCTGAAGAATTATGGAGATCTCGGCGGGTGTTATCCGCCTCGGCCTACGGCCTCGACGGATAACACCCTCCTCGATCTACATAATTCTTCATAAGACACTCAGCCTCATTCATTAATTGTTAAATAGTCCCATCGAAGCGATTTATTTTGCTGGAAAATGTCGAATTAGATTTTCCTGCAAAGTTATACCGCGGGTAATAATTTGCATAATTTAACCTCCAACCACACGATGCCTGTAATTTTTTAAACCAAAAATCTTTAATCTGCTCGATAACTGACTGTAAAACGTAAAGGAATGCAATCTATAGAAACCATAGAAGTCATTAAAGCTGACTAAACAGGTAATTAAAGCTGGTGTAATAGACTGCTCAATAAGTGACCACGATATCATCTTTGCCGATCTGCGTTTAAAAGCATCTCGACCTAAGGTCACTTATGTCAAAACAAGAAGTTTTAAAAATTATAATCCTGACGCATTTCAGTATGACATGTCTGTCGCTCCTTGGTCTGTCTTGGAAATATTCGACGACGTCGATGACAAATTACATGCATTTGATCTTCTTTTCAGTGAGATTCTTGACCACCATGCTCCGATCAGATCAATTAATTTAAGTTCGCGGAAAGCCAAGTCCTTGCATAACTATGAAATCTAGGAACTATTGGCGCAAGAGAGCACGCAGAACTAATAATTCCGCTGACTGGTCTACTCACACAAACCTTAAACACGAAGTGAGAAAGTTAATAAGAGCAGCGGAGAGCGAATTTGTCAAGGATCAGATTCAAAACAATCCACGAAATACAAATTGTATTTGGAAGGCAATTCGCCTTTGTCTCCCTAAAAGATCTGTCACCCCAAAAGTATGTAGCAAAGATGACAAGACCGTGGCGGATGATTTTAACAACTTTTTTTGCATCAGTTGGACAATCTGGATCTTTGGCTGAAGAGCACAACTTCGTTCTTCACGAAAACGCTTTTACTCCAAAATGTTTTCCCACTACTGAGCAATTTACATTTAATTATGTTGATTGTAAACAAGTCGCGGACGTCATGAACGCAATGCCTTCTAATAAGGCTCCTGGGATTGACAAAGTGCCAACTCGAGTCCTTAAGGACAGCCTGTTGATCACACTCCCTTTTATTACGTCAATCATCAATGCTTCTCTCTTAGCTTCAACATTCCCAGAGGTCTGGAAAACTGCCGAAATTACACCTATTCCCAAACAAGGCAACCACGAACTTCCTAACAATAACAGACCGATTTCCCTGCTACCTGCATTGTCAAAGGTTTGCGAGAGAGTGGCTTATAATCAGGGTGTCACCTATTTGACAACCGAGGAAAGGCTTACCACAAAACAAAGCGGCAACAAAAAATGTTTCTCTACTGAGACATCTTTAATTCACACAACTGATGCATTTCTCAAAGGAATTGGTGATAAGAAATTGACTGCCTGCGTGCTTTTAGAAACGAGTAAAGCCTTCAACAGCGTTGACCACCAAATATTGTTACGTAAAATACAAAGCGTCGGCCCCACAACCAGCGCCCTAAAATTGTTTAACAGCTACCTTACAAATAGACATCAAGTTGTACGAATTCTGATCCTGTTCCAGTTGAATGGGGCGTTCCTCAAGGGAGTATCCTAGGCCCCCTATTATTTAGCATATATGTAAATGATCTACCAGAAGTTCCAAGGCATGGCTCTACAGAATGTTATGTAGACGATACAAAACTGTTTGTTTCTTTTAATTTACACGACTCCCAAAGGATTGTCCCAGAAATGAATGATGATCTCGGCTGCAGGTGCGCAACTGGTGCTTCGCAAATCGGCTACCACTAAATCCAGACAAGACAAAATTAATTGTTTTCGGGAGCCGAAAGATGACCTCTAAGCTCCATGAATTTCACTTGTCATTGTTGGGAAAGGACATTTCCCCAGTGCAATCAGCGAGAGATATTGGCGTGATTTTGGATCCGAACTTAACATTTGATAACCATATAACGACCTCAGTGTCGGAATGTATCGCGCGTTTAGCGAAAATTAACCGGGTCAAACATTGCTTAGACAAAAATACGTTGTTAACCGTAATACATGCCTTAGTCTACAGCAAATGTACTACTGTTCGAATGTTTGGGCAAATACGACAAATAAGAATGTTATAAAATTGCAGGCCGTTCAAAACTTGCCGAATCGTCAGCGGTGCGAAAAATATGATCATGTAACACCCCTCTTAAAAAGCCTGTCTTGGTTGCCTGTTATGGACCAACTGTACTATCGCCAAGCTATATTATGGCCTTCAAATGCATGACCGGTCAAACCCCTGAATATCTTACATCCCAATTTATTACCCGTAAGCAAGTTAGCGAACGAACAACTCGGAGTAGCCAAAACCTAAACATCCCTCTTTTCAGAACTCCCCCCGGACAGAGAACCTTTTATTACAGGACTGTTAAACTTTGGAACAATTTCTTAAGTTAAGCCCATCTGTTGAAATTTTTAAACGTTCCTTAAGGAGCCAGCTTTTAGATAATTTTGTAAATACTTCTTTGTTAAGTTTAAAACATTGTAATTAGTATTAGATAAAGTGTTGTAATTAGTTGTTATAAATAATGTAATATAATCATTGTTCCTGAAAAGCCCCTTTGGGGAGGTAACAGTAAAGTAGCTATGTATTTTTGTATGTAACCATCCAACGTTCTTGCCTAACACCGCCCCATTATTTTATACTTTTATTATTCAAAAGAAAGATAGCGGCGAACAGAAAGTTGCTAAAATTTACTATTTTGTCTCAGCTATACATTTTCATTTGATTGGCATGCGAAAATGTATCGAGTACCCGCGGACTTTTAAGCATGAAATGGTTCACAAAGGGTGAAATATTTACATTCTGTTTCAATTTTCATCTAAATCGGAGTGCTAGTAAGGAAAAAATATTTTCAAAAATGTCTATTTTTAAGCCATGTCAAAAAACCTTTCGCCCCCCCGCTTGCTATCATGTAAACAGATTTTTAACTGTTAGTCTTCTTTCTGAAATATTCACCCCACAAAACTACAATTTTCCAGGAGAAAATTGTTCCAAAAATGCAATTTTTGGCCCAAACTTCCCCCCTGATACCCAGTGCAGGTTTTTTCTTAAACAAAATGCCACAGTGAGTAGTTTCATCTGAAGTACTAACTACACACAAAGTATGAGGGAAGGTTTTGTTTGACCATTTCCAATTTTGCTCAATCCTTAGTGACATTCGTTGTTAAGGTGATTCCCTAGTTTTGCACTGCGCATCTCTTACTGCGCATAACAAGATGGCCGTCGTAAAAAAAAGGATGTGAAGTAATATTATTAAAATGGAGTTGACTGAAAAGAAACGCTATTGGAATTTTTGCTTGCTGTTGTTTCTTGCCGAGGTGAGACTCAATGTGTTGGGAATGTGCATAACGTAAGCAGTACGCGTGTTGCTGAGTTCGACCTCCTCTCGGAGAACCTCGATAGTGGATGTTTAACTTGTGCTTACTCACTTTGATTTTCATTTAGACACTTTCTTTATCACATTGTGTCCTAAATGTGATATCTCGATGTAAATTCTGTAAAAACGGATTTTTTAATACTTTCTTCCCCCTTTCACATACATTCTATTTTGAAACTCGCCCCAGTCCTCTCTCAAAAATCGGAGAAAATGCGTTTGGTGCGCACTTTCTGCAGCTCTACCGCAAAAACGAGTACGGTGACCCCCATTTTTTATTTCATGATTTTAATAAGGACAGTGCTTCCTTTCGATGAGAAAAAAATTGGCACAAATCTATGTTCAGTTTTTTGGCAATTTTACTAAATTGTACGGATTGAGCCATCACTGGTCGAAAAGCGCGCGTCCAATCTTATTCTACTTTGGAGCGTAAAGTAAAAACAAGGGCATTAAAAGGCATTTTTCTGGTACGTAAGTGGATTAACAATACATTAAAGTCAAATTCTGTGTGATGTCACATGCATCATCGAAAAAATCTCTCCTTTTTGTCTAGTTTTGCGCTGCCCGCGGTTTTTGTAAAAGGGTCCTAAATAGCCGTATTTGTCAGCATTGTGACGTCAAAACGAGCACGGTGACCCCCACTTTTTATTACGTTTTTATCATCTTCTTGACTTGTTACATCAGTGTACCAAGTTTTAGCTAAAATCTATGTTAGGTTCTTTTACTATGGAATCACCTTAAAAACTGAAAGGGTGTAGCCTTAGCCTGCGCGCAAGCTCTCCTATTTGGGCAAGCGAAGCGAGCCCCGCGCGTTCTCGCGAGACCTGTTTCACTCGCCCAAACAGGAGAGCTTGCTCGCAGGCTAGTGTAGCCTCGGTCTCCGCAATCCCCTTAAAAACAAAACAAACAGCAAGCAAACAGTAGCAAACAAAACAAATCAAATTTCTTGGCTACGTCAGGTATTATATACGTCGACAGAAACCATAATGTGGACGCTTTATTCGTGCTGACAGGCCGAAAGAGGAAATCAGTAGCAAAGAGATAATCATTTTAGATCGTTTTACTAAGGGTATCCAGTTAAACGTTTTCAATTTATATTTTTAAAATATCACTCCCTCACCCCCTGTAGCTACTAAAAGGTTTTTTGGGAACTCAGCCTTTTCTCTTTGGATATTTTGTCTCATTCAACAGACCAAACGCTGAAAAAAGAACTGTTAATGATGAGTATTTATAGCCATGTTAAGAACTTAAATATGTGGTCAGCCTCTTGATTCAGTAAGCTAGTTGTCCGGTAGAACGCGTTAAAATGACACAGTGATGCAGATTCTTCCCCTTTAAAGCTAGCTTTATTCTTTAGATGCTTTATTTGTAGATTTTACATTTTTATAGCATTTTATCGGAAGAATAATACTTTAAAGGCATATCACAACTGAACTTATCATGTCAAATTACTTTTCAGATCAGTTCTCTCACTTTTCAAAGGCGAAAACTTCGATTTCGCTTACATAAAAAACATAATTACCAGCAAGAAAAGTATTATAGCTCTGACCTTCTGGGCAGCGGTACGAGTTGTTAAGGTTTGACGAACAAGTATTCGAGGAACTGGGTGAATTTCCAAGTGAAAGGTCAAAATACCCACTGTTGCTGCTGCCAAAAATCGGAAAGTTGCCACTACTACAGTAAATGGCAGATTCTTCTTTCCCTAGTATCAGAGCCATCTTGGTCGGTTTTAAGCCATTTGGATTGACAAGGCTGAAGAGAAAGGAGTTTGGATCTTTCTTGTATATCCCAGACGAAGTTGCTATTTAAAATAAGAGAAAGAGAGAGTGCAGTCACAATAGACGGCTTCAGAGATGCTGAATTGATACAAACTAAGTTACCTCTCACTAATCTCACTGACGACATTGAAATTGGCATTGAAAAGTATATTATAGTACACTACCAAATCTTTGACTGACTTTATTTCTAACGTTATAGCGTTAAGTTACAGTGGCATAAGTCTCTCTAAAAAGTGACTCTCGTCTTACTAAAAATTATAGACGCCTTATTCTGTGTAATTTTCAATTGCTAGCCATGATCATGAGAAAGTTTTAAAGCTATACACGAGGGCCTCCGAACAATCCAACCCCACCTCGGTCGATGGGAACCAAAAATAATAAAGTAATAAAATGAAAAACATAATAATAGTCCAGTCTGAAGAGGCTTAATATTCGTCCGAAGACACGATTTCCCACAAAAACATAAAAATTTCAGTAAACTTACATTCCCAGTGTTGCTCTGTGTAGCCTCCAAAAATGTAATTCCCACTACTTCTTACAACGGTCACGGTTGGTCCTTTGCGATCACAGCGAGAATGGAAGTTAGAGGCTCCCCAGCCATCACGTGAAGCGCGATATTTCAGGGTATAAGTGCAACTGGGACTTGTCAGCTTGTTTTTCAACCATTTAGTCAGTATTTGACGCTGTTCCGTGGACAAAATGCTGGAATCTTCAAAGGGAAAGGCCTTTAGTTCGTCGATAATTCCTTGGACTTGATAGAACTCAGCTTCAGTTAACAGCTCCTTGCGAACGATCTTGTCTTCTGGAACAACAAGCTGTCCTGTTCGAAGATAGTTCAGGATATAACGGAAGTGAGTTCCGTCGCGATCAATGAAGTAAGATCCGTCTTCAGCAGGCTTTGAATCCACTACGAGCCTCAGCGCTCCGGAAGTTAAAAAATTCGTACCGTCTGGTTGCTATGAAGTGACGTAATCATCCCGTTGAGTATCCATCACCGTAACACTTTTGCGGTCAACTACCGCAGCGCTCGTAAAGTACTTTAATTAAAACCGTGTTCAAAACCCTGTAGGAAGTCTGTTTATTTTTGAGTCGATTAATGCACTGCTGACTTCCACGAGGTCAACTTTTGCATAAATTATCAAACATTATGTTAAGCGGGAAATCTACCTATGGTTCGCGGGAGAAGCAACTTCTATAGCGGCGCAAGACAAATGTTTCGAGAGTCGAGGATGTGCTCACAAACTATTCACTATGCTACGAAAGGAGATATCACTGGCATGATACCTGCATGTAATGGTAATTTTTATCAATCCAGGTCGCGCCGTGTTCGCTCGAGAACGCTGTGACAACTTCGTTTGGCGCGCTTCTCAATACTTCCAAAACATGTTGTAATCGGTAAGTAGACTTAAGCACTTAGCATCGCCAAGCCATTCGAATCAGTGTATACCCAATTCTTTGTCTGAAGATTCGCGCAAACACATATACCAAGTACATCTGGATGGAAGAGGAAATTGTCTCCCTAAACGCAGCCAGGTTATATTTTGAAGGATGGCGGCACAATTCAACGCGTCTTCCAGGTCAGCCCTAATTTATAGTTCGTAAGAGTATAAATTGCGATCTTCCTATTTTCGCTTAAGCTTTCTTTGATAAAACTTCAGTAGAAACAAAACAACGCAGACATGACATTCTCCTGCATGAGACACAATCGGCTGAAGGAAATATCTGTTTACAAGTCGGGTAAATTATCCATTCTTGCGCACCGCAAAATCAGCTAAAATCAGTCGCTGGAAACCTGGCATATTATTAAGCCTGAGCGCTTCTAAGAATAACACGTTTAGAACTTCGACGAGTAGAAAAAAAAGGCAGTTGTTCTATATCCTTTCTGGTTCATCCAGGTAGAAGTCCTGGGATATTATTATGCCTGAGCGCTTCTAGGATATATAACACGTTTAGCATTTCAACCCGTAGCCGTAAAAAACAATTAGGTAGTTGTTCTATATCCTTTCTGGTTCACCCAGGTAGAAATTACTGGCATGATATCATTATGCCTGAGCGCTTCTAGGATATATAACACGTTTAGCATTTCGACCCGTAGCCGTAAAAAACAATTAGGCAGTTGTTCTATATCCTTTCTGGTTCATCCAGGTAGAAGTCCTGGCATGATATCATTATGCCTGAGCGCTTCTAGGATATATAACACGTTTAGCATTTCAACCCGTAGCCGTAAAAAAAAATTTAGGCAGTTGTTCTATATCCTTTCTGGTTCATCCAGGTAGAAGTCCTGGCATGATATCATTATGCCTGAGCGCTTCTAGGATATATAACACGTTTAGCATTTCAACCCGTAGCCGTAAAAAACAATTAGGCAGTTGTTCTATATCCTTTCTGGTTCATCCAGGTAGAAGTCCTGGCATGATATCATTATGCCTGAGCGCTTCTAGGATATATAACACGTTTAGCATTTCGACCCGTAGCCGTAAAAAAAAAATTTAGGCAGTTGTTCTATATCCTTTCTGGTTCATCCAGGTAGAAGTCCTGGCATGATATCATTATGCCTGAGCGCTTCTAGGATATATAACACGTTTAGCATTTCAACCCGTAGCCGTAAAAAACAATTAGGCAGTTGTTCTATATCCTTTCTGGTTCATCCAGGTAGAAGTCCTGGCATGATATCATTATGCCTGAGCGCTTCTAGGATATATAACACGTTTAGCATTTCGACCCGTAGCCGTAAAAAAAAATTTCGGCAGTTGTTCTATATCCTTTCTGGTTCATCCAGGTAGAAGTCCTGGCATATTATTATGCCTGAGCGCTTCTAGGATATATAACACGTTTAGCATTTCAACCCGTAGCCGTAAAAAACAATTAGGTAGTTGTTCTATATCCTTTCTGGTTCATCCAGGTAGAAGTCCTGGCATGATATCATTATGCCTGAGCGCTTCTAGGATATATAACACGTTTAGCATTTCGACCTATAGCCGTAAAAAAAAATTTAGGCAGTTGTTCTATATCCTTTCCTTTTCATCCAGGTAGAAGTCCTGGCATGATATCATTATGCCTGAGCGCTTCTAGGATATATAACACGTTTAGCATTTCAACCCGTAGCCGTAAAAAAAAATTTAGGCAGTTGTTCTATATCCTTTCTGGTTCATCCAGGTAGAAGTCCTGGCATGTTATTATTATGCCTGAGCGCTTCTAGGATATATAACACCTTTAGCATTTCAACCGTAAACGTAAAAAAAAAAATTAGGCAGTTGTTCTATATCCTTTCTGGTTCATCCAGGTAGAAGTCCTGGCATGATATCATTATGCCTGAGCGCTTCTAGGATATATAACACGTTTAGCATTTCAACCCGTAGCCGTAAAAAACAATTAGGTAGTTGTTCTATATCCTTTCTGGTTCACCCAGGTAGAAGTCCTGGCATGATATCATTATGCCTGAGCGCTTCTAGGATATATAACACGTTTAGCATTTCGACCCGTAGCCGTAAAAAAAAATTTCGGCAGTTGTTCTATATCCTTTCTGGTTCATCCAGGTAGAAGTCCTGGCATGATATCATGATGCCTGAGCGCTTCTAGGATATATAACACCTTTAGCATTTCAACCCGTAGCTTTAAAAAAAAATTTAGGCAGTTGTTCTATATCCTTTCTGGTTCATCCAGGTAGAAGTCCTGGCATATTATTATGCCTGAGCGCTTCTAGGATATATAACACGTTTAGCATTTCAACCCGTAGCCGTAAAAAACAATTAGGTAGTTGTTCTATATCCTTTCTGGTTCATCCAGGTAGAAGTCCTGGCATGATATCATTATGCCTGAGCGCTTCTAGGATATATAACACGTTTAGCATTTCGACCCGTAGCCGTAAAAAAAAATTTAGGCAGTTGTTCTATATCCTTTCCTTTTCATCCAGGTAGAAGTCCTGGCATGATATCATTATGCCTGAGCGCTTCTAGGATATATAACACGTTTAGCATTTCAACCCGTAGCCGTAAAAAAAAATTTAGGCAGTTGTTCTATATCCTTTCTGGTTCATCCAGGTAGAAGTCCTGGCATGTTATTATTATGCCTGAGCGCTTCTAGGATATATAACACCTTTAGCATTTCAACCCGTAAACGTAAAAAAAAAATTAGGCAGTTGTTCTATATCCTTTCTGGTTCATCCAGGTAGAAGTCCTGGCATGATATCATTATGCCTGAGCGCTTCTAGGATATATAACACGTTTAGCATTTCAACCCGTAGCCGTAAAAAACAATTAGGTAGTTGTTCTATATCCTTTCTGGTTCACCCAGGTAGAAGTCCTGGCATGATATCATTATGCCTGAGCGCTTCTAGGATATATAACACGTTTAGCATTTCGACCCGTAGCCGTAAAAAAAAATTTCGGCAGTTGTTCTATATCCTTTCTGGTTCATCCAGGTAGAAGTCCTGGCATGATATCATGATGCCTGAGCGCTTCTAGGATATATAACACCTTTAGCATTTCAACCCGTAGCTTTAAAAAAAAATTTAGGCAGTTGTTCTATATCCTTTCTGGTTCATCCAGGTAGAAGTCCTGGCATATTATTATGCCTGAGCGCTTCTAGGATATATAACACGTTTAGCATTTCAACCCGTAGCCGTAAAAAACAATTAGGTAGTTGTTCTATATCCTTTCTGGTTCATCCAGGTAGAAGTCCTGGCATGATATCATTATGCCTGAGCGCTTCTAGGATATATAACACGTTTAGCATTTCGACCCGTAGCCGTAAAAAAAAATTTAGGCAGTTGTTCTATATCCTTTCCTTTTCATCCAGGTAGAAGTCCTGGCATGATATCATTATGCCTGAGCGCTTCTAGGATATATAACACGTTTAGCATTTCAACCCGTAGCCGTAAAAAAAAAATTAGGCAGTTGTTCTATATCCTTTCTGGTTCATCCAGGTAGAAGTCCTGGCATGTTATTATTATGCCTGAGCGCTTCTAGGATATATAACACGTTTAGCATTTCAACCCGTAAACGTAAAAAAAAAATTAGGCAGTTGTTCTATATCCTTTCTGGTTCATCCAGGTAGAAGTCCTGGCATATTATCATGCCTGAGCGCTTCTAGGATATATAACACGTTTAGCATTTCGACCCGTAGCCGTAAAAAGAAAAAAAATAGGTAGTTGTTCTATATCCTTTCTGGTTCATCCAGGTAGAAGTCCTGACATATTATTATGCCTGAGCGCTTCTGGGATATATAGTAGCAGTTTGACCCGTAGAAAAAACAAACTCAGCCGTTCATTTTGTAGGAGATATTTAAGCGTTTTTGTCTGTGTTAGCAATGTGATCGACTTTATACGCAGACCTTAATAATATGTTTTTTTCTTTGACGGCACTGAATAATTTTAGCCGAAACTTGAGCCGTACATTTGTTGAATGCCGCGCTTTAATTAAATTTCTCGTCCTAGAATGATGACATGATGGCGCGAAAATTGACGCCTCTATCGTATTAGATGCGAAATATGATCAGAGATAAATGGAATAGTGAATGTTACAAGCTTCTGAGTATCCAGCTGAGATAGGGGACTTTTAGTCCCCTATCTCAGCTTGATAAACAAAATTTTTTTGGTTGCTAAGACGGTGCGGCTCGTTATGAATCGGCCTGAAAACATGGCGTGCAACATGGAACCTGAGAAAGAAAATCAAAATATCTGCATTATTTTAAGACTAAAAATTCTATGGCACCTAACATATCGCGTCTTGTTTCAGTTCTTTTGGCGAACTGAGAAAACACATCGCTTGCGCTTTTGGAAGTGGAAACACGCATAAAAAAGGCACACTCCAGACGCCTCTTCCAAAATCATAATTCTAAAACTTGAAGGTCTTATTAAAAGAGTTATAGACTTCAAAGGTGGACGCACGCACAAAGACATGCATGGAGCTGAATTACCTGGATCCTTCTTCATGGTTTCCAAACTGGTGGAGAATAACTGGCCGCCGACGTTAAGCTTCAACGTTTTAGAGAAATGAACGTGCTTGAGCTTTTTCGCCATTGTATCGAAAGCTTTCATTTCCTTGCGAACTTTGATTGTCTCGCTGTTGAGAATTTCGAAGAGTGCTTTGATGTGGCTGTTTACTTCTTCGAGTGCTCCACCGCTTTCAGTTTCCGGAATATCCTCTTCCATATTTCTGGGCGACGCTGATGAAATCTAGTTATTCCCTCCAGCAAAACCTCAAAACAACTGGCTTGTCAACAGAGCGGTAACAATGAAAATGAAGAGACCCTGTTTGCGATGGTCAATTTGTTCGTTGATTGGCTGAAGCTGTTCAATACTGCATAGCTATTGGTTAAGTCGTTCACGCATGACGGTTTCTCCCTGCCTTTTGATTCTTGGAAAGCCACGTGATTTTCTGAGAAAGCCTATAATCTTTAACATAATAAATTCACCTAAATAATGATCAACTGTTCAGTAAAAAATTTCTTACTCACCTGCCAGTTTGCATGTCAAAATTTTTTCAATCCTTCTGACATTTAGTTTTGTGGAATCTTACCCCTTCTAAACACTCTTTATGATCTTTTTTTTCCCGCTGGATAGGAATTTAAGTTTGTGATAAAACGCGTTTGAATTTTATATTTAGAAAGCCTCTGCGTCACGCGACATCAAAGGGCCCAGAAGGCTGCCACGTATCTTTTGGTTTTCACTATCTTATCCTTGTTGTAAAATAAGGGTGATTCTTGGAAAGCCTTGTCTGCGGTTTTATTCTCGAAAAAACTGATTTTCTTTTAAAAAACACGCTATCATGTAATATAAGATTCTTGGAAACTGTCATTTTCCCTTTTTTAATACCAAGAAAGCTGTTATGAAAAAAGACACGCAACCATCCTCCTAGTTCTGAAAGAGCTATGCACTCGGAGGTACTTGTAGGTAACAAAGAGGCAGTGAGAGACAAATGTTCTACGTACCTGAGTTATTGCTTCGTCGATTGTACATGCATCAGTTGTCTCCTATCCATTGATTTATTCATTCAATACCACCTGTTCCTGTGTACAGGATGTCATTTGATTCTTGGAAAGCCACGGGTTATTCTTGGAAAGGTCAAGCTAAGGTGAACTAGACATTGAATAACTTATATTTTATAATAAAAGCTAATACCTCTGGCTACCTCCACAGACGCTTCCAATATCGCGCAAAAACTCAGCAAAGAGTCACAAGACAGAACAAAGACCTTACGTTGCCTCGGCATAGGCTGGCACTGGCCAAAAGACTTTCAGCAAAACTTTATAACAGTATAGCTAAAGATATAAGAGACCCTGGAAATTTTAACGTTTTTAAAAAGAGACTTTTTAAATATCTTTTCAATTCATAGATAGTTTTTTATTATTGAAATATATTAGTCTTTAAAATTAACGTTCTGTTACTATCATTATTATTTATAGAAATTCGTTATTTTATCATTGAAATGTAAATAGTTTTCTAATTCATTTTCTTTCATTTTAATTTAATTCGTGTATGTATGGCGGAGAGCCCCCAAGGGGGAGCTATGCAATAAAGTATGTATCTCCGTTTGTTTATTTGTTTTCACTGTTTTTTTGTTGTTTTTTTTTTCAGGAGCCCATAACCGCGGATTCCTTCAGCCGAAATAATTTGTTTCTAAAAAAATAACTGGACGAAGAGTGAGAGAGTAAATAACTTTTGTAGATTGGACAAGGCCACTTAACACTGATTTTGCTTTGAAAACAATTAACTAAAGGGTCCCTTTTTTTCTTGGTTTTCATTGAATTTTCCAATAGCCCCTAACCGCTGATTTCCTCAGCCGAAATTGTTTTTGCGATGGAAAGACCAATAAACAAATAAATAAATAAATAACAGAAATCAATCAACAACGCAAACACAACGAGCTAGTTGTAATTTGTCCATTTAATCTTTTTCATTTAAGTGATCGACGATAACGGACATTCTATGCCCCGCATAATACGTTTTGTCAAGTGGTTCACTATCTATTTAACTTTTGTACCTAGTTTCAACAGGAAGGTCATCAAAATAGGAGTCGACACTAACGGCAGAATTATGTGTCCTTTTTAGGCACTAAAATGCATCTACAATAGCCTGCGTAGCATGGCGGTTTTGGTTGCTAAGTACTAGTAATAAAGGAGGGCGAGGACAGAGAAACCGCGAGGAGATTGGGGCGGTTATTTTCATTAGAAAAAAACCGGGAAATCAGATCCAGTTATGCTTCAGTCAGTTTTACTTTTCAAATGCGAAAACCTCTATCTCACTTACATTAAATGAATAATTTCCTGCCAAAAACGTAGAATTATTCTGACCCACCGGACACCGATATGATCATGAGTTGTTGAGAGTTGAAGTACAGCCATTGGCCTGATTGGGTGAGTTCCCAATAAGAAGGTCATAGTACCCGTTGGAATCTCTGCTTCCAAAGACAGGACCATAACCATTGTTGCAGAAGATAGCCATCTCTTCCTTATCTTTAATCAAAGGCATCTGAACAGGTTATAAGTTATTTGGATTCAGGAGGCTGAACATGAAAGCCTCTGGATCTTTCTTGTAAACTCCATTTAAAGCTGTTAACCAAACAATGATAAGATCGACAACAGAACGCGATGGAGAGTTTATATTATATTGCAATAATTATTGTTAGCGTTGCCTCATTTTTTTCAGGGTAGTGCGTGAAAAATTTTGCATTCGTCAAAGGTCTAAAGTACCATTTGTATCTCCTTATGGCCCTGTTACACGTTTTTAGTTGAAGCTTGCGTACAAAAGCGTTACAAAAAGGCTTTGGGACAGATAAGCTGTTGCATCGCGCACCATGTAACGTGGTCAATTGAGCAGAAAACTAAACTTACTGTCTCACCCCATGTAAGGCAAAGTAAGACAGTCTTGGGTACTGGATTCCAAGCGGTGGATTCGGGATTCCGGATTCCACTCGTTAGTGGATTTCCGGGGTCCTTGATTTGAATTCCGAATTCCATCAATCTAGAGGGAGAGGGAGAGAGAGACTAAAGGAGAAGGATTTGGCTGGCCGTTTCGAACAAAATTCACCAAGTTTGTCTCCTAAGGGGCTAAGTGTTACGATGAAAATAGACTTTAGGATTAGTGCTTCGTTTGGACTTATTCGCACGCGGCCATACTTCATCCGCCCCTGACAGGGTCTCAGCGATCGAATCCATTACTTAGAGTAATGAATCAACTTACGTTCCCAACTTTTCTCAGTGTAACCTCCGAAAATGTTATTCCCTCTCTTGACAACTGTCACAGTCGGTCCTTTGTGATCGCAGACGGAATGGAAGTTGACTGCGTTCCAACCATTACGGGAAGCGCGATAAATCAGAGTGTAGGTGAAGATAGCGCTTGTCAACTAAGCCTGCAACCAATTAGTCAGGATTTGGCGATGCTCTAAGGACAAGATTAAAGAGCCTTCAAATGGCTGGGATCTGAGCTCATCAATTATTCCTTGAACTCGATAAAATTCAGCTTCGTTGAGGAGTTCCCTGCGAACGATCTTGTCTTCCGGAACAACTGCCCTGTTCGAAGGTTAAACACTTTTGAGCAAAAAAATAGTTCAGTACTGAGAGAAAAAATGAGACGAGTACCTGAAAAAAGGTCGAATTTAACAACGCGGCTTCTTTCTTGTCGACACTTTTTCAGTCTGTAAAAACCTTGTGGGATGCAGGTGTTTTTTAAACAAAATTTCAGTTGTGGTCTGTAGATGAGGACGTCACCGAATCCCGTACCTAGATATCAGGAGCGAAACGCTCTAATGTTCGCTCTGTCTTTTTCATGTTAGAACTGAAATCATTTTCAGTTCGGAAGACTATTTCAAAAGATATATAGTTCGGTTTTTACTAAATTTGCCAATGGTAATCATGTTGCTCTTTATTCCTCAGCTACTTAATTTAATCGACACTTACCCTGCACTTCAGAACAGGCTGACACTTGTTTCCAAGAAAGCAACAGGAAAAGACTACAGAAGTACAGCAAAGCAATCATAGTGCTCCCTTTAGTTCGAGTCCATCAGAAAGTTGAGCGTTATTTAGGGAGAGTGGATCAGCAACGGTATAAACGCGAAACTCCCTCTTTATATTGGAAAAACACCTGCCATTGTATTTAGGTCTAATTAAAACATTGTTTGGGTTATTTCAGGTTATATTCATCTACCGTTTCGTTTCGTTAGTTAATTAAGCAACCGACTAAGGGGCGCTTGAAACTCCAATGCTGTCCACATGATAATAATAATTAATTATTTATAAGGTGCAAAATAGCATTGAAGCACTCATATTTCGCCTTTTTTGAATCGCATGTATAACTATAAAGTTGAATATGGACACCATGAATATTTGAAAACGGTTTCTGGGTTTAAATAAACATAAAGGCAAGGGTTTCAATAAGCACCGACGGCCGACGAAGTGCATTGGCTACGCTACTTTTTTCTAGAAAGAAGAAGCAACTAGTTTGAATAACGTTGTAAACAAACAATATATAATAAAATCTGAATAAAATCGCAATTATGATCTGTTTTCATAGAGGCCCACTGGTTTTACGTTACGCTTTAGTCATGTGAACGCTATATTTCAGTCATTTCCTCACAAGTTTCTTTAAAGGTTTCGCAGAATTTGTACATGTTTACGTGCAAAAGTACGTAATTTAGTTTTCATCAGTTGTTCATTGCTTGTAGGAATTGATTTTAACTGAGGAATTGAAAGCCATATTTTCTTGAATGAAAAACACGCTCTTTTGTGCTCAAATTTATTCCCCAGGACGCTGAAAATCGCATTTTAGGGCTTTGGAATTTCAAAATTTTCTGGGCTAGAACGTGCCCAGACCCCTCCCCCCCCCCTTAGAAAAAAGGGATCAGCGGCCCTTTGTTTATACAGTCGGTTACTCTATTCGAACCTGCTGGCTTGAAACCCCTTTGAAAGGGGGAGCTTATTGCGAACGTTATGTGGGCACGTTTTCTGCGTTCGTCCATGAAAAGAGCCTCGACCATTTTTTTTTTCACTATACTGACCTTTTGCTACTTTCCCCGATAAGTTGAAAACGAGGTCTGACACTTGATTGGCAACTTCGCAATCAAGTTCCTTTGTCTGATTCGTTTGCTAAACGCCACCACGCTATAACAGGACCCTTCTATGGTGATGAAAAAGTTTTGCATGAAGCATTTTGTAACAGTAATGCTGTAGAGGCGTATTCTAAAACAGAAGTTTGATCACGTGACGCTGACTTACAAGGCGGAAATAAAGGAATGTTGTCAAGAGTGAAACCTTCAAGCCCTGTATATTCCCTGTATATCGTGCATACGTGTGAGGAAAAGAATATTAAACGAATCGATTCAACACAAAGTCGATCAAGTCATATTAACTCGCAGAGATAAAAAAGTTCTTTTTAGTCTTTTTATTTACAAAGCCTACAATGCCATAGGCGGTGATAAACTGGCCAGACTATCATACCTGTCGTGGGGGTCTAATCGACAGGGACGTTTATCAGAGAGGGGCGTCTTATACAAACTTAACATCGCCGAGGGGGCGTTTATTAGACAAGAGGGGTTTGTTTGATAGGGGCGTCGATTAGAAAATTTACGGTATCACGGTATCTGTTATTTGCCACTGAAAATGAAGAATTGATAAATGTTAACTTCAAGAGTCAAACCACCATGAACCTCAGTTACTTTTCAAACTTAAAGACTTCCATTTCGGCTAGAGTAAAATTGTGGTTTCCAGTTAGGAAGGTGTTATTCTGTCCAGGAGGCAGCTGATATGTGTTGTTTAAGTTAACTGAGCAATTATTAGAATTAGGCCCGTTAGGAATGCTAAGATCGATTCCAGCTCCAAATCTAGGCCCGCAGCTACTGTGGCAATGAACGGCAGAACCCTCCTTTCCGGGAATAGTAGACATCTTTGTAGGCTGTAGACCACTGGGATTCAACAAGCTGAAAAGGAAGGAGTTTGGATCTGTTCTGTAGGCACCATTAGGAATAGCTGGAAAAAAAAAACAAAAAAAAAACGTGTGCGTTGATAAAGTGACCTGGGGCTGGCAAGCCTATAAAATTTACAGTCGATCCTCTACTAACGCCCACCTCTTTAAAACGGCTATTTTTGTTTGGCGGACAGTCCATACATTCACTCTCGTTTCAACTTCTCCACAACAGCCACCTCTCCAAGGCGGCCACTTTCTTCTGCCCCCAAGGTGGCCGCTTCAGAGAGGTTCAACTGTATATTGATGTGCTGGTATAGTTTTTAAGCCATTTTTTTTATAATCATGAGCTTACTGTTTCGACCATTTTGGTCTGGTATTTGGTCTGAGAAAGTCAACAAAATTATTCCCCTCTTTATTTTAAGGCAAAAACAGAGAAAGAGAGGTTACAAAAAATACCATTGGGTATATTAGTGTGGGATTTCTGCTTCAGAAAAACCACTGACAGGCAGACCCACATTTCCTTATAAGAACATGGTGTAGAAGCCGGTGCCATTGAAGAATTGAAGAGGCTTAGACCCCAGATTCAGACACAGTTCTTCTTATAAGATATATCTCAACAACTAAATGGCTCATAACAATGGGGAATTTGTGAACAAACAATTAATACCAACGTTGTGGTTCAATTTTATCCTTGGTTTAAATCTTATTTTCCTTTGTTTTTGGGTATGGTAATGTATGATACTGACTTTGAAACAAAGGAAAATAAAATTGAGACCAAGGATGAAATTAAACCACCACACCTACGCAAAAGGTATTAACTTAGGATGCCTTGAGTTGATAAACTGGAAGCAGGTCCTATATGGGTGTAGAAAATGTTGTCTTTTTGTCTGGATAAGTGTGAAGGTTTAAAGAACCAGGCAGCATATGCTACGTCAACATCCAAAGTGCAGCTGTCTACCCCTCACCCTCCCCCCCTGGACATTTAAACCACATGAGTTACCAGTATCTATATAATATCTCTGGTCAAATTACTACAGTCAAACCCCTCCTAACAGACACTTCAGTCTATAATTTGGACACTTCCCTATCATGGATATAGTTCTGGCCCCAGTTGTTCAAACGTTGGATAGAGCTATCCACCGGATAGATCACTATCCAACAGAGAAGTATTGGAAAACCAATTGCACTTTCCACTGGATAGAGAATTATCCACCGGATAGGTGCTATCCACCTTTTGAATAACTGGGGCCTGCATGGTCCCAACACTATCAAACTTCAAACAGTTCCTAATCTCTCCAGTACAGACACTTGTCTGATTTTGTCCCTTTAGTATCTATAATAAAGAGGTTTGACAGTCTTTAACACAGAAATCCTAACAGCAAAGGAAACGGTCAGATAAAAAATGACTTGATTCTTAAAAATATTTTCGTCATATGTACTTTAACAATTGTACGGAAGACAGTTTGGAGTAAAGCAAAATCCCCCATAATCAAGATTCCAAAGTTAGAGGGCCAAGTGTCCACATAATAGAAGAGTATTATGGTCACTATGGTAGAAATAGTAAGAAGCTTTCAATCTTGTAGACTAAGAGAACTCTGTGTGATAGATAATTATTATTATTACCCTTTACCTTGTGCACACCTCGCTATTGTAGAGACCCTAATAATACGAAAAAAGCTTAATCCCCAGCAAAAATCAATAAATTACTGATCCTCACTGACTGGGCGTAACAAGGTTTCATTATATTGAGGATCTTCTTTATTAATAGTATGCATGCTCTTATTGGCTGTTTTCTTGTAATGACTGGGCATAGCTATTCTAGGTGTCCAAGGCATAACTTAATAGTGGACATTCTTATGAACATCCATGTTATGGTCAATTGACAGCTGTCAAAAAGGGGTATCGGCTGACCAGTGTCACCTGACTGTATCGCAGGCTAAAGTGCAACAACTCATTGAGGTGATGTGTTTTAAAGTTATCCACTGACCAGTTTTTGGTTTTAATTGATAACAGGCTCAGGTCCATAATGAAAAGGTATTCTAATAGATAACTTATTAACCTCGTCCGTTCGGTCATTACGGCAAAATCTCATACCTCAGCCTTGATGTATTGACTTCGCTATTGCTCAGTCATTACATCAAGGCCTCGGTCTGAGATTTCCCTGTAATGACCTCACTCTCGGTTAATAAGTAGTATATAGTTTACTCTTAATATAAAAAAATAAATGAATAAAATTATAAATAAAAATATAAAACAAAAAAAGAATACCATTTGTTATACCAAGGTTTTCTTTTTTCAAGGTTCTTCCTATTATTTTCATCAAAAGATTGTCATAGTAGGCTCAATAAATACCAGCCACTGTTCAGAAAATGAGCCCATGCCCCTCCCCTGAACAGAGGGCTGGACACCTGAGTTTGCTAGTGTCAATTTATTCCACCAATCAGATCATTGCCTGCTCAAATCGAGCAAATCTTGCTGCTCTGAGTCTAATATTTAGAGGTCATGAAGCTGGTCTGATTCATACATATTGAGTAATTATTGATTTTCTATGATTTTCTATGACCTTTGTTGAAACCTTAAACTAAATAACCTTTCAAAAAAGATTTTTATCAATTTGGTTTTCTCTGAAGTACCTGAAAAGCTGTATGTGTGTAGTTTTTTTGGTCTGTCAATGTGATGATTTCCTGCTATGTTTTGACACTTGACCGAGCTCTTTTAAAGTGACCTTAAGTGTAGTTTGCAGGATGTTGTATTCTCATGGTAAGTGAACTTCAGATCTGAATATTGTAGCATAAACCAAAGCAACACCAACTAAGGAGAATTGTGCTGAGAGCCAGTCAATATCATTTCTTAGGCGCTGGTACAATCCATTTTGTTTTTCTTGAGAGAAGTGAGTCTTCAGACTGGAGTGCAATGTCCTACAGTTCCTCTGTTGTCGATTGATTTTGTTTTAGCATAATAGTTTATTTGACTGTACTGGTGTGAATTTTTTGTTACAAGTGCCTAAAGCGAGACTGCAGTTTTGGAATTAAAGCATTCCTCATCAGATGCCACTATGGTTGAGTCTTTACTTAGTGAAGAGGCCATTAGCCTGTCAACACTTTTTCAAACTGGATGTTTTCCTAAGCCTGTTGAGCCAATAATAAAAGGGTTGGTTTTCAGAAACTTACATGCAATAGCCAGTCAAAAAAAAAACCTGCCATATTTGCAAAAGTAGGTGATGTCACCAGACAACTCTATAATGCTCAGAATTCAGACATCTCTCTCCCCTGTGCCCCCATGGGTTAGGGGGTGGAGACGTGTGACATTTCAGACTAGACAAGATTGGGATGGTAGGACATTTGTTAACTGCATACACCCAGCAATTTGAATTACCTTACTAACCGCCCTGCTATATCAAACCAATCAGTCACAAATTTTAACCCTGTCGCTTTTCTTTTAAAGAGCTGTGAGTTCCACTATGCCACTTACATTCCCAGTGTTGCTCTGTGTAGCCTCCAAAGATATAATTCCCACTTTTGACAACCACCACAGTTGGTCCCTTGCGATCGCAGAAAGAGTGAAAGTTGGAGGCTGCCCAGCCATTACGAGAGGCGCGATATATCAGGGAGTAGGTGTGGCCAGCACTTGTCAGCGTGTGTTTCAACCAATTGGTCAACGTTTGGCGGTGCTCTGTGGACAAAATAGTGGAATCTTCAAAGGGGCTGGCTTTGAGCTCATCAATGATTCCTTGGACTTGGTAAAACTCAGCTTCAGTTAACAACTCTTTACGAACGATCTTGTCTTCTGGAACAACAAGCTGTCCTGTTCGAAGGTAGTTCAAGATATACCGGAAGTGAGTTCCATCGCGATCAATGAAGTACGAACCGTCTTCAGCGGGCTTTGAATCAAATCTACCGGAAAACATGGCGTGAAGCATTGAACCTGAATAAAAGGAGAAAAATCGGTGATTACTGTAATGTAATTTTAAGCCACACGAATCATCTCAGTCTATACATAGCTACAGATTTTGTATCTTATCGATTCACACTTTGTATAGCGTTCATGAATGTATATTATATACGTGTCGTCAAGTTGAGAATCAGGCATCATCAAATTTTATTGGGCAAGGCTAAGGTATTGGTGAGGCCTGCCTGTATGATTCTCAAAGCTAAAAAGATATTTTACAAAAAAAATCTTTTATCATAAAAGATTTGTTTTTGTAAAATATCTTTTTTACGAGAAAATACGCAATCATTTGCGTGAAACGGCGACCAATAGTGCGAAGATACATTCATTAGCGCGAAAATACGAACATTTGCACATAAATCAGATTCAATTGCGATTTTTGCATTTCAATCAACAATCAATACCACTTCTGGGCATTCATATGCGTCGTTGGGCATTCAAAAGAGAAAAATATACTTTCATTAACGCCAACATCAAAGTCATTAACACCATCTTGAAAGTCAATAGGGACAACTGTCACACATTAAAGTGAAAACACTATTCATTAACATTTTTCAGGGGCACCCAACGGCAATTTTCGGAAAATATCTGTTCGGAAGACGATTTGAAATCTAGAATTTTCGGAACATTTGTTGTAAAATTTCTTGCTTGCCTGCCTCTCCTAGGATTTTCGAACATCTACAAAATGGTATTATTACCCATTTTTAACGGATTTTGACCCTAAAAAAGGCCACCTAGAATTTTCGGGAGCCTTTTCCTGGCTGAAATTTTCGAAAAGGTAAGTTTTTATCCCTATAATTTTCGGATCACTAGACTTTCAGCTAGGAAATCCGAACAGATGAAAAGTTTTTAGGGGATAAAAATATGCCTATATCTACTGTTTAAATACTAAAATACGTTCAACAATCCTATGCTAAGTGGTTTTGAACAAGATACTCGTTGGGTGCCCCTCATTTTTATGACACTTTTTGCAATTCAACAGCATTCCTGGACAACCTTAGGATGGATAAGACAAACATTAATGCACTTGTACAATCAACTGAGTGTTCTTTACATTTAATGTACAAAAATCGGGTTTTTAATTAAACAATAGAAATTCAAACAAATTTGGCCTGAATTTCAGTCCGTTAAATGTATATCCCTCAAAAACCTCGCTATTTAAACATTTGGAGAGGTAGGTTTGCATGAAATGGTACCCCTTAACACATTTAGCTGCAGTCACAATGTCATGTTTCTGCGCAGATCTGCAATTGTTGTTTCCGAACTCCGCTAGTGGGATTGCTAGGGCTTTACCTCCATTCCTGTTATACATCTTTAAATTTCCGGACTCAGATGTCGGCCTTTGATTTTGCTTTCAGACAACTTAACTCCTTTTCAACGATGTCGAGGGGGGAAGCATAAGCTGTGTACGTATGCGGCGGGAATGGCCAAATCTAGGTGGGCTGGCACCCCGTCATACGCAAGGACCACCGACTTATCGGGATCCATTTTTTCCTCGCCCGTGCCAGAAAGTCACCGAAAATCCGACACAGTATTCTTTACTCCAGCAGCTGCCAAGGAAAACATTTGATAGGTAATATTGCCATGGTCATAGTCAAGTTTCGTCCTCGTTGGCCGCACACTTGGCGGTACGCCCTCTACTCCTGTCGCGCCCCACCATGACTTCTGGCCGTCATGGGTAAATGTATAGCCGCAGCCGTCGACGAACACGGTGGCGAAGTACGGTGTGATTCTTTAAACAAATTTAGGCCAATTTTTTTTTTGGGAGGGGGTTGGGAATTGGTGTTGTTTAATTGAAAATATATTTTTGTATATTAAATGTAAAGAACGCTCAATTGATTGTACAAGCGCATTTATGTTTGTCTTATCCATTCTAAAGCTGTCCAAGAATGCTATTGAATTGCAAACAGTGTCATAAAAATGTTAATGAATAGCATTTGCACTTAAATGTTTGTCTATGGGCCTTGACAAACTGCGGGCCAGCGAGATGCGGGTCACGCGAGGCATCAGTAAAAAAAAAAAGGAAACACAAGTAAAAACTGCAAATTTACAGATGAGGAGTTGAGCACTCATTATACTGATTAGGGTTAAGCTCTCATAGTACTGACTAGGGTTAAGCTTTCATTTTACGGATTAGGGTTAACCTCTCATTTTAGAGGGTGCGAATGGGGTTAACAGTTAACTGATATTTGACCAAAAAAATAGTAGTTAACTGATAATTGGCCAAAAATATAGTAGTTAACTGATAAATGAAAAGTTAATAGATAAGTGATATTATATTAATGTTAATGAAAGCAACAAAGTTTTGCAAACAGAAACGCTATTTCCTGACATTTTTCTGTCCCGCTGATGATCCGGTTGCACATTAACTGATCCTGACTATTTGTAAAAGGCACCAGGGCAGTACCCAACAAAGAGAAAGCGTCAGTCAATTTAAAGAGCTGGTTGTAGAAAACTCAACATACAATTCATCTTTTGATATTAACAAGATTTCTGTGTTCGAAAAGGAAAATACTGTTTTCACGGACTCAAAAGATCGTCAAGTTAAACATTACTAGCCAATTAAAAAAGCTGTGACTCTTAGAATTGGATCTGGCCTAAAAGAATTTCTGAGGGTTCAAGAAATCAGCAATCTTTCTTTAAGTACATGGAATTTGTACTTACGAGAAATAGTTTTTGTAACTGATATTGGAGTTCTAGCTATTGAGACTTTTTTAATAGAAAAGCCGGTTTCAACACGAGCTTTGTCTCTCTGAAACAGTTTCGGCAGTTTCATTTCTTGAAACCCTTGGATATCTTATTGTGAGGCTTTTGAAATACGCGAAAATGGTACGTCTGCCAAAAAGGTTACATTGAGGGACGCGAAAGACTGTCGCGACAAAATCTGTATCGAGGTAGAAACAACTTCTGACAACGCAGGTGGACAGCCTAAACGAGATTTCTCACTTCAACACAAAACATTTAGTGCTTTGAGCTACGCCCAAGACTTTGAAACCATAGTTGGAATCGCTTAAAAGAACTACGAGTACAAAGTGGGCTACACTCACGAAAAGTCGAATTGTCCCATGTCAAATACTTTCATGCCTTTGTCGGCACTCTCAACTATGTCTCGATCTCCCATCTGTGCAAACAGTGATTGAATTCACTGATTGAATTCCAAAAATAATAGTCAAGTTTTCTTCTTTGAGACTATATTATGGCACTGATAATGTTTCTCGTCGTCTGTTGCAGAGGATTGCAAGCCATTAAAAATGGATTGAAACTTAGGCCAACAAGATACCAGGACATACATACATCAAGACACTGGACATACAGCAACCAAGATACGTGCACTTACTGATTCCGTTCAGATAATGAAAGTGCCGAAAAAGGTGACTTTGAAGTAGTTTATTGAAGTAGAGCGGTAAGATCAATACGAGGTCATGACTGGTGCGTCTGGATCTATGAGGCTGGTGTATACTGATTAAGTTATACGACATAAATTTTCAGTTACTAATAAATTGTTAAAACTGTTTAAAAGCAGAGGTCTACGCAACGCGTAAATATAACTGACTTGTTCCTCTTGCCGGATCTCTAATCAAACAGGTGCTGTAGCCAGACGTCACTTAAAGTGGGAAATAAAACAAAACTAAAGTCAGGGCTGGCACTACGGCAAAGGGCTGATTTATTATAGGCCAATATTTCGGCTAACAAAATTAGCCTTCCTCAGGGCCAGAGCTACACCGAGAGAAAATATCTTTTAACGGCTCCTAAAATTTGAATTTAAAATTTACATAAGCGGTTAATAATTAACCACAATTATTAATACTAGATGGAATAATATACAGGTAAATGATTATACAAAAAGAAGCGTACCTCATAGACAGAGGCAAAACTCTGTCACCAGACGGTCTGAACCGAAGGAATGAACATTGAACTGTTTCTATTTCTATTTTTATTGTAAAATCATAATCATTTTGTCAGCCAAAATATTGGCCTATATTAAATCAGCCCTTTTGCCGTAGTGCAAGCCCTGCATTCAGTTTTGTTTTAATAAATTGTGCTAGTGGCAGAGTTCATGTAAATTTATACCTTGATTTTAGCATGGCCTACCCCCAAAAGTGATTGACAGCTGAAGGAAGAAAAATTCGGGTAATGATGGAATAATATTCGCTGTAAAAAATATAGCTAACCAAAATTAGTAGTTAACTGAGAATTAACCAAAAAAATAGCAGTTAACTGATATTTGGCCGAAAAAATTATCATTGGGTACCCCCATTAGCACCCTCATTTTAGGGCTAGGGTTCCGGTTGTTTAGGGTAAAACACTTATTTACAACGGTTAGCGTTCAGTTAATGTTTTTTGCGTATTACTGTTTTCGATTTTTATGGTGTTTTTTTCAATGATTCTTCAATGGACTGCATGGCTCGCATGACTCGCTGGCTCGCATTTTATACACCCTCTTTGTCTATTGTCCCTGATGATTTTCAAGATAATGTTAATGACTCGAATGTTGGCGTTAATGAAAGTATATTTTTTCTCTTTTGTATGCCCAATGACGCAAATGAATGTCCAAAGATGTTATCGAATGTTAATTAAAATGCAAAAATCGTTATTGAATCTGATTTATTCGCACATGTTCGCTTTTTCGCGCTAATGAATGTATCTTCGCGCTCTTGGTCACCGTTTTACGCAAATGAATGCGTATTTTCTCGTAATGAACAGCAAAAGGTGTAACTGAAACGTTTTCTCCTTGCAAGAGTCAGTACCGAAAATTTGCGTTACGCACTATGCGGTTTGGAATGCTGTATTATTCTACAATCGGCGACAAAGTTGCTGAGCCATTTGCATTTGGATTGGATACTTAGTGTGAAAAAGGATGAGAAGACTTGATCCAAATATAAGACTTGATCCAAATATACAATAAAATATGTTACCTGGATCTTTCTTCATAGTTTCCAGGCTCGTGGAAAATAATTGGCCGCCAACATTGAGCTTTAACGTTTTAGAGAAATGAACGTGTTTGAGTTTCTTTGCCACCGAATCGAAAGCCTCCATTTCCTTGCGAACTTTCATCGTCTCGCGTTTTAAGATTTCAAAAACGTCTTTGATGTGGCCATTCACTTCTTCTAGTGCTTCGCTGCTTGATGCAGAGACATCTTCCTCTGCAGATTTAGATGACGATGATGCTGAAGATTGAGACATACTCTTTCGGGAAAAGAATTCAAACATTCACTAAACCAGCTTGTGACAGCTTCGGTAACTGGATGAGTAACAGTGCAAAGCAGTAAAACGTTTCCACTAATCACTAATCGGCACATCGATTAGCTGATGTCAACTATGTCCTACACCGCTAGTTGGCTTGGCCATTCAAGCATGATTGTTTTTCATCTACTTGATTCTTTGAAAGTAATAAAAAATTCTCGGAAAAAATTCCTTTGTCTCATGTGGGCACGCAGACCAAAGGGGACTCCTTTCTATTGGAGTACTTATCGAAGCATGGCTAAAAGTTCGCGAACCAGTCGATTCGCGGGAAGCAATACCAAACTGGTATTTCTAATCTCTCTGCTTCTGGAATCTAATTAGTTAATTAATCAATTAGTGGTAATTAATGACTGTAGGCTTTTTCCCTTTAGGACTCTGTTTAAATTTACTGTAGCTCTGCTAAACCAGATGCTCCTGTATAAATAAATAAATAAATAAATAAATAAATAAAAAGAAATTAAACTCAAAGTTTCAAATGTTCTAAGGGAATTAATGATACAATAACCTCTTTGGGGAAAGATAAGGGAAACTACAAGCTAAAGAAATAACAATAATAATGATAAAAACAATAAAGAGTTTCATTATGAAGCTTCCTTGCCTTCAAAATGATTGTAAATTTTAAAATAGAATTTTAACACTCGTATTATCCCTATTTTAATTTTTTATTTGGAATGTTCTTTTAGTGTCCATAATTAGCTAATACTAGCTAAATACTCTGACACTTAAATAAAGTTCGTTCATTCATTCATTCAAAAAAATGTGATATTTCTTAAAACTTTTCATAATCATCGATCGAACCGTTTGTTTGTCAAGTTTGTCAGCAAGGACTAACCTTCATTAAATAAAGAAGAAAACAAAAGGTGGCTTTCTCTGTCCGTTTTTTTTTTACCAGACAAGAGTATTTTTTTTGCCGACTGAAACACAAAGAGTGAATTTACACACTTAATCGATATTATACAGAATTAGCCGTTAACTAGAAATTTTAAAACAAAAAAATAAAACAGTGTAATAATAAACGGCGACGGCAATGATAACGGCAACAAAATCAATAGAATCCTCTAACTAACAAAAAACAAATTTGCATGTGCAGCACACTTTTTTGTACATTTCTTTGCCGTTGTTTTGCATGACTACAATGCCCTTTTTCACGACTAAAACGCGAAACTTCCTGGTTACACATTTTTTTGTGGAGGAATTGTTGTATGTGCTGTTCCTGATCGCTTTTATTTTTTTTTACTGCCGCTCTCAGTTGCCGCTTCTTGCTGACCGCCGCGAGCATTTCTCATTTTCTCACCGCCGCCACCAAATTTTCATGTTTTTCTTCCAACGAAATTCCGGCATCTCTTTTGTTTACAATCACTCGCTCTAGCTCTTTCTCTGTTATCCACGTGATTGTAGGCATCAAAAATATCGTCGAAAAAGACTCGACTTTGTTGTTGGTTTTTACTCTCTAAAAGACCGGTTGGCCATACGATTTCCCACCAAAAACACTTCGAGTATATGTGGTGCGGACAAACGGACGGGCTTACGGTCACGTGATTATCAAAACTTCCTGGATGGATGGATTACCAAATTTTCTTAGGTATGGGCCTATGCTCGCGCGCGCTTTGCGTGGAGCTCCGCTATTAATATAATGACCCGTATAATAGCCTTGTTCAATGTACAGACACAAGAAAGAAATCAAATGTGGTAAAATATGCTCCCAAAAAACCGAACAATAACCTGTTATTAGAAGTTCCAATGACGGGAGTTAATGCGCCCTTAATACTGCTGGTGGCAAGTCTTTTACTTTTGCCGCACCGGCTCAATGGAACAGCCTACCGACTGTGCTGTTACGACACTAAGTGATTTTAAAAACAAGCTTAAGCCGTTTTTGTTTAGATCTGCATTTCAAAAACTTATTTCCTATTTAATGGTGTTTTTAAATACATGTTTTATTTTGTAATAGGCCATTTTACAGTTGTGTATGGAAACGAGACTGAGGGTGACCTTGTTTTGATACAAACCTTTCTGCTTTATTATGTAAATCAAGCTATTCTTATGCTAACTATTATTTTTCAAGAACAATTTCCATAACAAAGTTAAGAAGGTTTGTATCAAAACAAGGTCACCCTCAGCCTCGCTTCCATCCATAACTGTAAAATGGCCTATTGAAAACACTTTTGACCAGCATATGTAAATAGAGCTATATAAGTTATTAAAATATTATTATTATTATTATTATTATTATTATTATTATTATTATTATTATTAGTATAGGAATATATGACAATTTTCTCTTTTCAGATGAACGCTTTTATTTAAAACTAGCGCCAACTGCTGAACAGTTTAATCGCTTTTTCGTCGTGCTATTGTTGCGCTGTTCACCAGCCATGCATGGTATAATGTTTTATCAGGTTTCCTAGACAGTGCTAACCGACATTCACTTTCTTTACAAAGGAAATTTGATGCTAATTACTCAGGGCTTACAGGGTTAATCAGACCTATGGCTGAGGTAACTCCTAGACACAAACAAGGACAAATTTTAAGTCGACGAATTTAGATACGAAAGCGACCATTCCCTTAACATAGCGCTTACAGATAAGACAGAGTAACCTTATTTTCTCGATTAAACGCTGTGCTCTTAGCTAATAAACGCCGGGTCTAAACCAGGAAGCTGAAAATAACTTCCTCAGGCATTTATCAGGCGCATAATACACTTAAAGTTGAAAGGGAAAATACACGACTGCTAAGAAAAAAGGAGAAGAAAAACCATTTCTTGTCGTACTAACGAGCCCACATAAACTGCTCATTCAAACAAATGTCGGGTTCAGCAGGGCAAGTTTAAAACAAACGCCGAGAGGGTTTAATTGAGAAAATACTTTATCTATGACACTGAACTGATTTTGCACTCAGGGGAAATTTTTCCTTGGATTACTGTTTACACTTGTATCGCTAGGTCTGTTGCTGAACTTAGAGAAAGGTGTGTTAAACTCGACGAAGACTAAGACAGTCCTCTCCATGAAAGAGTGTGCTTCACCGACCTCCGCTGCACGCCATGCACCTCGATGATCTATTAGCAAATGTTCTCCAAAATTTAGATGCACACGTTGCCATTCTGGTTCTTGTGTGTGAATCTTCTGTCCACTACGATTTCATTCTTCAAGACGTCCAATGTTTGATTGACATCTTGAATTTTGTCCTCAAGTTCCTGTAACTTCTCTTTACTTATATAACACTTGACATGTCGACCGAGAAGGTTTCCTTTCTTGAAAGAAACTGTCATGTTGTGCATTTTGCTAATATCTGAAAACGAGCAAAAGCTTCTTATGTATTAGACGTTTAAGCAAGAGAAACATAATTATTTTCTTAACCCAGCGCTTCATGGCAAAATTACTACAGCAATGTTTTTACACCCTTGGCTTCATCGTGTTTTGTTTTCAGTTAAATAACACTCTGGAATATTTAATTTGCAAGTATACTCATACTTCTGAATAGCGATAATTAGAACGTAAAAATTAAAGATAAGACTAAACGACTGATCCCAGATTAGCCACGATTCAGTAACCGAAAGAAAACAAAAACGCGGCATAATGATAAGGAATTGGGCACTTTTTCATTTATATCATGTTCATCAGATGAATTTTCGTTTTTGGCACAAAGTTGTAATTCAATACCGAACGCCATTTATTCATTACCCAAAGTTCAGGTTACCAGCTGAGCCTTTCTTCCGCTTGAGAAAGACTCTGCATGAATCAAATCAGACCTTTTGTTTGAGTATGCTCTATTGTGTGTTGCTTGGATATAGTTTCGAATTCAGGCTTAATTGTAATAGCCGTGTGCGTGGTGTAGCGGCATCAGTTATGACCATCTCGGTTTATCAAACCAGTTTGACGGTTTATCAAACCCGTTTGAAGAGAGAAAACAAGATTGACAAGTCCAGAAGTTCCATGGGGCTGCGGCGACTTCAAACGCTTTACGCGATTCAGGCAGAGAAGACGATAAGAATTTTATTACACAGAAAAAAAGACATAAAAAGGCAATACTACTTATGTAAGGTACAAGACACCTAGAAAATAGCTAAAAAGCTATTTTAGCTGGAAGGCATTATAGATAAATTATGAATATTAAAGAAGTTGTTTCATGGAGACACAAGTACAAAACAATGTAAAAAACAAACAAACGAAGACAAGGGAGGAAAAAAACGTACATGAACGAAGAAGTAAAAAAAAAAAAAAAAAAAACGGTACAAGACGATTGTCGAAATCCAGTCGAATATCAGAGAAACACGTCCGCCCTCATGAACTGCTATATTATACAACTATCCCACGAGGGGGAGGTGAATACCCTGAGGGGAATAGTTGTTTTAGTATTTACCACATCAGTTGGATAAAAATGAAGAAAAAAACTTCTGTAAATTAAAAACGTCACTTAGTAGGAACTTTGTTTACAATTTACAAACATTTCGGCGATTTTGTCAAGTGATTTTTACGACTTTTGTCGCAAATTCAGCTTGAAAATAATTTACTACCTACCAGTAAACACTGACAAGCCAATGATCGTCGCTTTTTCTGGTATTTCTTCATTTATCGCTCAAATTCCGTCTTCCCAAAATGTCTTAAAACGAGACGCCATCTTGGCTCTGGTCGCAAAACAGTGAATAGCCAAGGATATTCCGAGTTACGGGAGCCAATCAAAACGCGCAAAAATTGGTATTCACTGATTTGGTAAATTCTAATACTAACTATGAGAGCGTCTCTTTCTCCTCCCCCTCAAGACGACAGAAGGCTCTGCTCGTAGGGTAATGGAAGTTTGAATGGCTAACAAAATCTGTTGGGCTGAATTCAAACCTTTATTTTTGATAAGACTGCACTTATGAAGAAGGTCCCACAACACTCCACCAACAATAAAGACGGCCGTTATTCCCACGCAAGTATACAGCATCGGAAAAAACAGCAGACCTTCGGGGTCGAAGAGGTTACTCTGCTCCTCTTTGTCTTCGTCACCCAGCGCACTCTAAATACACAATAGAAATAAAAGTGAGATATAGTTCTGATAAATTTCAATCTTACTGCGATCACTATAATAATGACTGATGATGACGATACCGATATCAAAGCGAAACATTCCAATGATTATTGCAAGAGTTGGCTTGATAGTGCATGCTTAAACGGTGATCTCGTCATCTACTGCGTATCGCTTGCAAACTGAATTCACCAATTCTCATTCACACATTAGTTTGGTTTGTCTACTGAATATACGAGGTGGAAAAGGTTAACCTGCGGCTACAATTTGCGATCGTCTTAAAGTTAACACTCATATTCTATTGAGTACTACTGCTGTAAGCAAATGTATCAGCAAATACGTAAGTAAATGAATAGATAAAACTCTACAGAGATGGATAATAAGTAACTTACATTTCTGAAGTAATACGCTTACCGTTAATGGGCTACCCAGAGTAAACTCTGCCATCTCCTGCAAACTTGATTCCTCCGTGTACCTCTTCTCTCTAAAGCAATTGGCTAACTCAATATTTTTAACTTTTACACCATATTCCAGTTTTCCTTGTGCAATTATTTCCTGAACTTGCAGCTTCTTTGTTGGATAATATTTTCTGAAGTGAACGAGTGAATAGGCATCCATTAAAGCTCCTGTAGATAGAAGAAATCAAGTTATTTAAAAGACGGTCAGTATAGTTCAATTGATTGTTTGTGTTAAGCTGGATAGTAGTAATACTTGAACGTAGTCTATATTAACCTACGAGAGGACACGGCAGAAACATTTTTGTACTTCCAAGCAGTAAAATGTGTTCAAGTAAAGGTACGAAAAAGGGTCACGTTTCAGGCCCTGTTTACAAGGGAGGAGGGTACCCCACCTGTGAAATTTGCTCGTAAAACCAGAGCTAACTTTTAGCCGCTTGCTAGGATAACTCTAGCACAAGGGTAACCCTCTCTCCATGCAAACAGGCCCTTAATTTATTTTAACATCGTTCCACATGCACTGTAGTTGAGAAATATGACTTTTCAGTCAGAGACACATCCGGCTCGGAACAGCAAATCCAAGTACTCCCAATAGGGGCCGGACCTATGAACTTCTGGTTACTCAGTCCAGATGTTCTACCACTGAGCTACAGGAGACTAGTGGAAGCTAAGGTCACTAAACTAGGTTTAATCATGTGACAAACATCCTACATACTGCTAGGACTAGAATGGCACCAATAAGAGAGGATGATTTCTAAATCAATGTTTAAGGGGCATATTCACTTTGTACACTCAAGCGTACAAATTTGACTCCAGCTACGCAGGCTATACATTTACTGAAAATATTTGGATAACAATAGAGAAAAGTCGTTATGCCCCGTTGCCATGGTAACGAAAAAAATTCTGGATGACAAACCAAAAGCATCAAAGTGAATTCTGACTGTATCAAACTTCATCAATCTTTTTCACTTTCAATTATTTTGCCAAATGTTGGCAACATTTTCTTTCTCTAAGTTTACCACAAGAAAAGGCAATTTTTGTGTTGTGTTTACGAACTCCATAGAGTGGGCGCGTGAAATTAGGAAGTTCATATGGCAGTCGTGCCAGGACGGCTAAGAAATGTACAAAAAAGCGTGATGCACGTGCAGAGTTGTTGTTTTGCCAATCTAAACCTATTGCTTTTTAGCCGTTCTCGTTGCCGCCGCCGCCGCCGCCGCCATTGTATGTCGTTGATTAAGCTCCCTATTTCTGTAATTCAGAAATTTTGGTTACGTGACGACACGCTTCTCCTCTCTATTGAAGAAGGCAAAATCGATACCTTGGACACTTTCACTTTCCAACTGCTCATGTATTTCTCTTGCCGTTTGCACGCCTTGAAAGAGAAAAGAAGAAGAGTGACTAGTATGCAATGATGAAACTGACGACACTTTCTAAACGAAATTACATCACCAGCTAATCTAAACTACGCTTAATCTGCATGTAATTAGCTACTATATAATGTTTAAGTTAAAGTTAATTAAATGTTGTGGGTCAGTAATGTGATCGCATTGAACACTCACGGGTGAGATTCGCTTGATTTCGAAATCCTGTGGTAGCTCCAATAGAATTGATTAAGGTCACGACCTACAGAACAGGAGAAATACAAGAAAATACCCAAACACTGAATGAATAACTGTTCACGTGAAAAAAGATGTCCGTCTCGCACAAACAACTTTTGATATTTAAAGACCGGTTATACATAACTACTGTTTAGCGCAAAAAAATAATTCGCCAAAGCCGAATGACCATCTACCCAAAATCATTACGGAAAATGCTTAAAATCCTTTTTTATATATTTAGAATAATAACAATAATAATCATCATCATCATCGTACAGCTCATAATATTGGCTATTAATCGTTTACCCTCGCTCCTGGCAAGCTGATTTTAGTTTCCAATGAGAGCGTGGTCAAAGAACTTGTCAAAGATGCGGTGAAAACGGAACAGACGCAAATACCAACTAAAATCCAAAAAACAGCGAACAGCCGACCACCAACTGACTGTGGACAACGGTCTCCATACCTGAAACAAGGAAAAGTATCGAAAACGACGCTTCTGAAGGGAGAATTTGTCTCAAAGGACTAATATCGTTTCCAGTGAAGGCCATATTGATTTTCGTCGAGTGCCAGAATGGGAAAAAACTAAGTAATAATAATGATAATTTGAATAATAGAGGGAAAAACAGTCTTGACTTCAAACGAGAATTTCTAAAAGGAAGTTAAAACAACATTGGGCATTAATTTAAGGTTACAATTAACAATTGCGGTTAACCTGCCGGTTTTCAAAAAAATGGTTCTTTGAAATCTTATTGTAACATCTTGTGAAAAAAATCTATGACAAAAAAGGAATACCAGACTTACAAATTTTCGAGATAGTCACGAAGGCTTGTGAATATTGGTCAACCTCGTCCCCAGGGCAAGAAAGGTTTGCTTATTAAAATCGTAAATGAAACTGTCTGCCCTTTCCCATTTACCACATCTGATCTCTATATACTGTAGCTTTGAACTGAATTACTACAATTTGCGAGAGATAACTGTTATATCAGTCATTCCAACAGTGTCGGTAACCCGGCCGGAGGGGGTGGGGGGGACTCCCATATAAAAGTGACGGGAGTGCTCGTCGGAAAATTAAAATTGAACCCCTAAGGGAGATCAATGTGGGTGTGGCTCAAGCTTAAACTGACCCCTAAAACAGACATCTTAATAAGAGTTAAGGATCTATAAAAAAAAGAAACGGGCTTGTTGTGTTCTTTTTTAAAAATGAGATTTCTGTGAAGTCAGTGTCACGGCAGTTTTTGTACATTTCTTTATGCACAGCCCTAAGCGATGCCTGAATGGGCAAATATTGTGACTTTTCGTCCCAAACACCCTAAGTGAGACTAAAATCTGCAATTACAACCCTAAGAGAGACGACGAGCATACCTGTCACTTTTATATCGAAATCCCCCCCATCGGTAATTATTTTACAAGTCAAAAAATGTACGTTTTCAGTCAAACCTGCAAAACTTGTCAAGTAAGCGAAGTTTATTGGGTAACTGCTTAGCCTGAGGCCTTCCTTAGGAAATATGCAGCTGAGGGGAGGGGGAGGGGGAAATGGGCTTAGGAATGGCATCTGAACACTTCCTCTGTTTCGTCTCTGGGGATTTTGACCTCAAATTTTGCTCCAAACTGAGGCGAAGGAATATTTTATCAAAATTTTAGTATTTTCCAGTCCCGAGGGTAGGGAATTTAGCCAAAACTTTGCAAACAAGCAAAAAAAATAAATAAATAAATAAAAAAAAATAATAATCACATGCTACACCTTTGCTCGTACTCACCCCCCCCCATCCCTTCTCCGTCCAAACACTTATACCTGCATAAGGAGAGGGGAGGTTAAGGTCGGAGGGAGTAATAGCTCTCTACCCTCTTCGCTTCTCTCTTAGCCCTTTATCCTAGAAGCGCCTTATACTCAGTCGCAGGCTCGCAATTGCCCAAACCGTGTAACAAACCTTGTAACTTTGCTATTACTTGGTTCTGATTCTGGGTTTCAACATCTAGTGATGTACCTTAATGGAGCACTAAAAAAAAACAACAACAACAACAAGAACATACTACAACTTACCCTACTGTGGTCATAGATATGAACGCCCACCAAAAACCTTCCCAAGTTCCTTTAGAAAATGAAGAAGGAAAGTTCTCTGAATTTCTCCTGGCCTCCTAAAACAAGTCCAAAGACGATCAGCTACTTTCAGCTGTTTTCACAGATTATTTTAAAATTGTATCAACGTTAGAAACTAGTAAATATATCGGTCGACGTATAAGCCTAGAGTATACGTCTTGGACTTGCAATCCAGAGGACCCGTGTTCCATTTCCGCCCTGACAGTAAGAGCAGGCTTGCACGTCAATAGCCAACATGTTTGATGTTTGTTTCCGGCCAACTGGGATTCTTAACCTTGTTTTGTTTTTGTTTCAGTAGTTTTCTCGCCCTCACTAACCATGCATTAAGCTTCAAATACTGCCGAGGGTAATTCAAAGAATTATTATGACTATCAGTCATTTGCACAAATCTTAGCCTTTCACTGATTCGAGAGCTTGAATTATCGCTTTGGAATATTTTTCACGACCTTAAGACCTCAAATTAAGGCTAGGGTCTCTTTAGCTATTCTTGTCTCATGATTCTGGAATAAAACAAAAACATCCCACATCACTTTAACGTTGCACCTATGATATGACCAATTGGGACCTAAAAGTCAATGCTCAGTTCAAAAGACCAGATATAATACGCCCTAATATTGTTAGGAGCCAAAAGACTATTTATTAATTCAACCTACCAATGACCACGCAATCATCCCAGCGATCAATGACAAAAAGAGCGTTAGCACAAGAACAGGCCACGTTGCTAAAAGGGATTTCCACATTCCCATCGATTGGTTACTTTTACTGTTCTTAACAACTACGAACGCTATCCCCGTATTTGGCACAATAGGAACAAGATTTGTTGGTTTGTTGGTATTGCAGTCAGCTTCAAGATTGACGATAGTTGGGAGAAATAAATCTGAATCAGCTGTATCAGAATCGTTGTAAACCAAATTGACCCTTTTTCGGCAACACTCAGTCAAAAAGAACTCAAGAAAATCTGCGAAAAAAAATGAAATTCATGAAAATTAATTCCAATTAGTTTTGTGTTTTTGCTGTATGACCATAGTTTTGTTTCAACGCTTGTTTACGAGCTGAGCATATTTAACAATCTATCTATTGCAAATCGGCCACGACTGGGGCGAAATCACTGCTCGCTGACTGACTATTATTTATAATGACGAACATAAACCTGACTCGTCTCGTTAATAACAACAACAACAACAACAATAATAATAATAACATTTTTATAGCGCCTATCCAGTAATAGATCTAGGCCCTTAACAAAGTGAAAAAATTAGAATTAAAATCGATTAAAATAGATTTAAATTTGAATAAAACACACATAAAATCAAATAAATCTTCCTAATGACTAAAACAAAAATTCCTAAAAAGGTAGGTTTTAAGTTAAGATTCTAATGTCACCCTTGAATCATCAATAAAATGTGGTAAGCTTTTCCTTTAACTTGTGAGGGGTTTGGGGACTTTTCAGCGTATCGCGAAGGTTCTCCAAGAAATAATGAGAGATAAGTCAAAGGTGGACCTTATTTACCAAAGAGAGTCATTGATGAAAATTTAAGGGTGGAAAGTCTTCTTACATTTTCTCTAAAAAAGTACAATAAGGTCTAAACTAAAACGCCAGATAGATACATTTGTAAAACAATTAATGAGTAGGATTGATCGATTGTCTGCTGGAACCCAACAGAGGCACGCAATATGCTACTAAATTATTGTTTGCATAAATTAAAATGCCTAAAAAGTCTTCCTGTCTTTCGACCACTATATTTTATGGACAGAACTGAAAATTGAAAATTTTGACACTAGATATACAGAAGTTGTTAAAAGTGTTTTTGCACTGATTGAGGCGACGCAAGTCATAATTAAACTGATCTTTGTCAAAAGTGGTATTGCACAGACCACAGATTCCCCATCTGTCTTTGTACGTGGTGCACTCTAATTCTACAACTTGTCGAAAAATGATCTAAAAGTTTAACATCAAACACGACGCAGTGTTTCATCACTTATAAACCACTGAGAAAGAACTGAAACTACGACGCTAGCAATAGCCATTGATGACCATCGAGGTGGTTGATTTTGCAATTAAGCACCCAGTTTCAAGAAAATAACATTTAACGAGGGCATAAGGACCCCAAAAAGAGTTTTTCATCAGATATCAAAACACGTCACGCAGTATAATTTGCTTTGTTTTTTACTTTTTATTGTTAGTAACCAATTTGAGAGGTTTGTGGTAAACTAAAAATGCAAAAACTGCCGCATGTTTCCTTTTATGGTTCCAAATGTTTGATAAATACGTCCCAAAAACGTTCGCTAATAAAGATTCATTTTTGCCAAAATTGTATCTAAAATCCAATATGCATGATTTCCCGTGTCTATAAAAATATGATCATTCTTTTTTCAAATTTGAAAAGGGAAAAATAAACCGTCAGTAGTCTTTATTTCTGTGCTTAGTTTGCTTTACCAGTTACATTTAAGTTGAGCGTGTCGTAATGGACATCTTTTTAAAAAATTAAGATCGCAAACATTAGGTGCCTAGACTCGTATTAAATTTACAGTATGCGGATTCACAAAACATCTTTATTTTATATGAAAACGGAAAACACGATGGTTACAGTATGAGCAAAAATCCAGTGCATGTCGCCCCTAAAATATCAACGAATATCTCCAAGCTAAGAATAATTACTTCCCTTTTGTTTTAACTAACAAAATATATCTTTCATAATCGTAATCGAAAGCACAAAAGCATCCTCCATTATAGTAAATCTACTGCTCTGTCTGCAACTGAAAACCCTATAAATACTGAAATAACGCGATCACTGTTTTTTTGGGCTTTAAACAGAGTCAATAAGCGCATGCACTCACCACAGATTTTAGATAGATAAAAAAGCTTAATCGTGTTACCTTTCACGAAAAGCGAGCTGCGAGGAGACATTTTGTCTGATTCTTACTTAATTTAGAAAGTAAACCCCCCTGTGTAGTGTGACCATTCAGATGAATGGTACTTTTTCACTGGGGCACCCAACGACGATTTCCTCCTAAATTGTTGTTGAAATATTGAAAACACTTTAAGCTATCCAGAGTGCTTTTAGATCTCCAGAAATGCATTCTAAGCGGCGCTATAAAATTTACATCTGTTCGGTCGTTCTAGGCGAACGTGAGTCCTCGAAATTACAAGGGCTTCAGTATTATTTTCCCGAAAATTTTAGATGCAATTTAACGTATTACATAAGTGAGAATTTTCCTGATTCCCCTCTCCATCACATTTTTGAATCCGAAAATTTTAGGTTTCCATTTTTCTACGAAAAAGAGCCTAGCCTTGGGAGAAAAATGTGAAAAATTAAACTTTAAAAACTTGTACGGAATTTGTTACATAAGCTACGAGGATTGTACATGCATGAATGGAACGATCATCTAGAAATTTTTAGCTGTCCTCAAGTAATAGAAAATTCTAGCCAACATTTGTTTCTCCGCACAGATATTTTACAGAAAAAGTCCTTAGGTGCCCCTGTTTTTCACTTACGATTGTAGAAAAAAACAACAACTTGTATTTTGCCACTATTAAGAGTGAAACGGTTAAATTTCAAATACTTAACCTGGAAGAATTCCACTATAATGACTGGAAATGTTGAATGTTTTATCCACGTAGGGTGGACGAGAGTGATGTGCCTTCCAAACAACAGTCATCTTCTCAGGACAGTCGAGATTCCCATTCCAATCCACGCGCTCATCTGCTCCTGAAGTGTCTGTGAAAAATCCAAAGAGAGCCAGTACGGCAACAGCAGTCAAACTGCCAGACTTCAAACATCCACAGAAAGCCATTGCTGATGGTTTAAAAACTATCACAATCTATGGAATAAACGAAAAAACGAAATGTAGTTACAAAAGCAACAAAACATTTGTTGCATTTCGTGGCATTTTAAAAAGCACGTATGTCGGCCTCATCACTTACGGAAAGTTCTTATTGCCAAGGCGAACGGCCTGATGTGAATCAATTTATACATTTAATAAGACATTCAATTAGTGGTACTCCAAAATTTATGACGATTTCAGAGAATGTGTTTTTTCATTCAGGCATAATTACAGTTTACAGAACTGGGGGCACAAATGCACTATTTTTTTATACCCCATAATTGTGTACTCTGATGTGAGCGGAAGGGAGTACTTCCGATAAAAACAATAATCCAAAATACAAATTAAAACGAACTACACCTGCACTAAAATTGATTTTTGGATTTTTGAAATTCGATACTGTTCGAGCTAAGCAGAAATCATTCGGTTTTCTTGGTGTACTCTAGAAACAGCTGGGAGAAGGAGAGAGAATATATAACAGGGACTCTTATCTGCTGTTCTATTGCTTACGGCTAAAATACATGCTATGAAATCAAAAATCATTCGGTCTTTTCAGCGTAAAAATTAAATAAATTTACGAGTTTTATTTCTTGACTTCATATTTCGTAACAGGTCACCTGTTCTTGAAATGCCAGGTGAGGGGGGCTAGAGAAGAATATGTACAGGGAATATCTAATTGCTGTCCAATTTACAGGTAAACAACACGCCATTTTGAATTAAAAATAAAGGCGAATTAATGTCCGAAAAAAGGGAAGAAAGTATAGACAGAAAAAAAATCTAAATGATGATTTATTTTGGGCAATAAAAACGGTTATTAAAGGCAAAAATAGTCGATAAAAAGCAAACTATTGTGGAAAAAGAATCTGTCTACTATGACAGTGGATGAGAAGATAAAAACTTTGGTTTTCGCTCGGTTGTCTCTATGACAATATTTTTGAAGCACAATGTTATGATCTTACACATCTGTCAGGGCAGTTTTGATGCAACCATTTAACTATATTGAAATTCATTTACCAAAATCCATTGCGTTTTAAGCCCCTCTCAATGATAAAAACTAATTCTACTAACAATAGCCCTTATTTGCACAAGAACGAAACAACAAAAGACATAATCCCTCAGCGAAATAGCCGGTTGTACGATTGTGTTTACAAGATTGGAGAACCTTGAAGGGGTCTAGATGTCGACCAGACTGTTAAGGAGTCAGTTAATTCCATTCTTTTTCCTTTCTCGTTTTGCGCCAATATATTTATTCCTTTTACGGTTTATAATGTCCTTTCCCCTTTTTTTCTTGTTTTCTGTGAACATGCGCTCAAAGCGTTTAAAGCTACTTCACTAACTGGACCCTTTCCAACTGATGTTGGGCAGGAACGAACTTTGGAGCTGTAAAGTATAGTGTAAGCTTTAGTTGCGTTAGTATAAGCGTGTTTGTGTCCCATTCATTATGGTATTTTGGAGTTCATAGTTGACTGAAACGAGTGAATCGATTTACTCCCGTAAAAGGATTGAAAAACAATCGTATCGAGCACTAGCCCGACCACACAGGCATCTCATTACATATGTGTATCAGTCACTAAATGATCAAAACAAATGGATCGATAAATTGTTGTCTTAAACGAAAAATTGCAAAAGGAAGAAATAGATAACTTAAGAGCATAAAACTCTTTACTTCGCTGCTATGGCAATGGCAATTTTCGAAAGGCACGCATGCAGCATTTTTGAAATCTGCCACTGTGTTATGTTATGTAAACAAAGAGAGTCTACTTTATCATTCACATATAATGCTCACAATTGGAGTTCTATATATATTCCGCCTTGCAGAAAAACAAATAAAAGGGCCCTGAAAAGCTTGAGCTTAAATTTAAAGTGAATCAATTTCTCTTCGACTTTTGAAAGGTGAAAACCAAATATCTGTCGTATAAAGCCAGAGCATTTATAGCTTGTTATATTGTGTGCTTAAAGAGATGCATTGTGTCTGTCAAAAAATAAATAAAATGCAATAAATACACGTTCCTCTAAAGGCTTGATTTTTCCTTAATTTTGCTATAAAAATTAATAACATAAAGAGTTGCCTTATGTTCAATAAGATAATAATTATAGTGAAAAAAGATAATTTATAAACCTATGCAAGACTGATGCTACGGAAACCTGCCGAGCAATAGCAATCCAGAATCCCCGCAGTTTCTGGATTGTATCAACCAAACAAAGAGTGGTTACATGACTCCTGGACAATATTTCATTAAAAAGACGACTGTGCCTCGAAGCGTAAATGCAGTTACAACACAAAGTCACTGAGGCTTAATATCAACTTTGTATTGCAAGATAATTTGCTCAGTGAAATTTTTTTCTCTCAGTGGCAATTTTTCAAGGAAAATAGCAATATATATTTTCAAGCGAGGATACCCTAGCTGGTTTTTATAATTTTACCGAAGGGATACGAATGTTTTATACTCACGTTGACTCGAAGGAATACGATCTAACTTGCACGCAGACGATGAATAAGTCAATAATCATTCAAAGTCAAATTGTCTTGGCGGTGTAGTCGGAACAAATAAGTGGAAGTATTCATCTTTTCCCGGCAATTTACATTTGACACCTGTCAATCAAGTGTAAAGCTTTGAACCAATCATTGGTGGGTATATAATGTCTGTATTATTGGATTGCCGTAAACCTTTCTCTACATCATTTTATTTAATTTTGCGGCGTCAATAAGACAATACTGTTTCATTTGCCATTTATTTGGCTCTTATTGTTGTTGACTCTGGCCTGCTTCTTTTCATTGCATTAAATACGAGTGTTGGGTTGTGTCCTCTTGGAAATAAAGAGAACAACAACAACAATAATAATAATAATATTTTATATATTTATATAGCACAAATTAACATACAAGAGGATATGATCAAACACGCTTAAAACCTGTTCAAATACAGAAACAAGCGTTTACTTTTTTTTTTCTCGTGAGACGACTTTTAGTAGCAGTACAATTTGTGGTCGTCTGTTACACAGCCAAATCAAATTAAAAAAATAATGACAACAAAAACTACATTCATATTTTATTCTTGATAGCAATTCACTACCGCTGAATTATGCCTAAAGAGAGCTTTTCATATCAAAATATAATTACACGTATGAACATAGTTTAATTTCGTTTTTTTATAAGTGAACTTAAAAATAAGAGCTTTAAAGCATTCTTGAAAGAAAAAAAGAAAAGAAAAACCTAGAGTTTAATTTTGAGAGACCTTTTTTTAATGTTTTAATTCTTCCTTTGCATGCAAAATTTTTGGCATGATTAAGGTGGCTCCGTAATTAATACGGGCGCATTTAGCTGTGGCGAAGTTTTCGTCATAACTTTTTCGTTTTTAACGCGATGGCTGAGAAACTTTGCAAAGAACAACAGATATCGTTCGACAATAGTACGAAATATTCCGATTTCATTGATGGTAAATATATTTTGCTAAAGTAGGGCTTAAAAGGACCCTTCTGTTCAAAGAAAATCGCGTCTAGTAAAAAAAAATGCTGATATTTTTTACTGAAATTTCTGGTATCGGCTTTAATTGACATAATAAATATGCCAGAGGAATTTCAGAAAAATCGTTGGCGAAGAAGTCCGTAACTAAAAGTCACTCAAAATTCAGCTGTGAAATTGTTTGGAATTTCAAAAATAAATTACCATCAGGTCGACGTGTAAGTTCTGTTTTCTGAGTTGCTGCGGGAAGCAGCCGACGTTTCTTTTTAAAATTTACTTCGGATCCATAAATCGCACAAAAACACATTCTTATCACATTGCCTAGGTAGGAAACGATAAAATAATACTTTTCTATAACAATCCTACGATCCTTATTTTAAGTCAGACAGAAATTTTTCTGGATGTTTTCCTTGTTGTATAAAAAAACCTCCACACGAGAATCTACATGTGTTTGAATTTAAGGCATTTCCACGCACGAAACACAAGATACAAATATCCCCAATTTGTCTCCAAAATGTCTATCTCAGAAAATAATTAATTTAAATCCACTTACCACAATTAATGCCGTCTTACTCTATATACACTCAGATGAATACCACATCTTTAACGCTACCAAAACATAAACAGAAAGATACAAATACTCACATCTTTCGATAGCACCTTATATAGCTTTTTAGCCCTGATAGCTTGCATGGTCTTTTACATTTTTATAGAATCGATAACGTAAAGATTGCTGTTAAGTATTTCGTTTTGGCATCATGTAAAACATCTTATGACAATTCGAATCCATCGCCTTAAGCAAAAAAAATTGAGCAAAGTACAATATATACGCAAGCATATATATTATCATATATTTTTCTTGATAGCTTACATACTAACAGGATCACGCTGGCTTGCTATCTTATAATCATGCAATGGACAATGAGTAGTTAGCCAATCACAGGCAGAACTCTTGATAGTATGCTAGTTGTTTTCTACTTATCTTCAATATACATGCAAATGCAACAGCTAACAATGCTTCCGTCAGGTAGTTAGGTTCACTATAATCTCGTATGCACTAAGAAGAGAGCCTATTCCATTTCCTGCATGATATCTTTTTAATGAGGGCCACGCAGAGGCTCCTTTCTACATGACATTTCAAACATAGAATTTTGTTCGCGCAAGAATTACTAATTAAAACGACTTATATAACGGAGCTCCGTTGAACCGTACTCAGCGTGGCCATACACCTAATAAAATCCAGGTAAATCGATCAACTCAAAAGATTGTCCAGACCAGTAAATACTGCGCTGCCGCCAATTATTGAGCTATTTTGAAAAAATAGCTCATATGTCCGTGGTGAGAGCGTATGTATCTTTGTGGCTTTGTATCTTTGTAACTTTGTATGTTCGGATGTTTGTTGCAAGAGCCAATAAGGTTGAAGGTACTATTAGTTGATGCTTAGGAACCAATGAGATCTTAGCATCTACTTAAACATGACATTGGTAAAGGTCGAACAAGGGCACTTTGAGACCGCCATCTTTATTCTTCACAATTTTTTCGTCTTTTATTACGGCTAGAGGTGTTTGGAAGAATTACATTAAATATCTTCATGATTCAAACGCTGTGTACAGTGATGCAGCTGTTTAAGGGTTCATATTTTAGTATGGATGCTGCTTCAAGGCATTTCTGACCTAATTCGGCTATCAGTACAACGCACGTCAGTATGAGTTCTGTTTCACCTGCTACAACTGGGTAGAGTATAAAAGATCATATATTTTCAAAGTTCTTCCAATGAAGCAATAATTGATATTTAGATATAGACTTTAATTCGAAAGTATGCGCCCTATTAAATGAGGTTTTAGAAATTTAAAAGGCAGCTTAGTTTTTTGAAAGCTGTACCAAGTATTGTTAATCCTGTAAACAAGCCTTAAGAATATTATTCTCTCGCTTACAAAGTTCAACAGACCTTTTTCGTTCTGGCAAAACAAAAAAAAAGAACAATAAGTGAACAACATGATACATCCTTCCTGCATACTAAGTATTATAGTTTCTGAAACGTATTTTATTTAGTAAAGACGCGTAACTTAAGTAAAAACAGTAGCGTTAGGGAATAAAATTGGAAGAAGCTAGTTGACACAATAATTAGATACTGTTGTATTGAGTAGAGTAACATGATACAAGTAGCAATATATTTCGGCAGTTTGATAATTGTCTTGGAAGTTGATAAATGTTAGGCTATCAACCTTGACGTTGCATGAAACATAATTTAATTGCAGATGTTGTAATAAAGCCGAGGTGATTTCTGAAAATCGCTTGAGAAAATTTTGTAGTAAAACAATTTGCCTTTTTTTTTTTTTACGTACGAATTGGAAAAGGGCCAAAGACCAACATCTTCACGTGCAAATTGTGTGCAAGAGTTATTTTCATAATTCTGTTTACTAGATTACTGTGTGATAACTCGAATTCCCTCACGTACGAACCACGAAAGGGGGGAAAGTCCAAAACTTTCAAGTGCCGGCTGTGTGACCGTACATCTCATGCAGATTGGCTTTTCACAATGATAAATAGTAACTTGGACGTATGAAGACCTATTTCGTTTTGTAACCAATGCCTTAAAAAAGGCTCTTGTAGCTTTTAAAACATGAAATAAGTTGTCGGAGTTAAAGGCTGTTTCACTGAGTAGAATCGCACGTGAAAACCTCGTGAATTATGATGATGCAACCATCTACCACAATTATAAAAATCCTTGTATTTCGTAACTACTCAGTATTCGATGAGTCACATTTTGGCTTAAGAGTGTGTCCATGAGAAAACCAGGCAGAAGCAGGCAGGAGGTGATAATGCTCAAATCACCGATTTCGCTCAAACTTGGCACAAATGTTAGGTGTCAGGAGTTAGCTTATGTGACAGAATGTCAGGTCAAAATATTAAATTCCCTGGGAGATCCGGGCTCCCCCTGTAAAAATCGCCATTTTGCCCGTTTATGCATAATTAATTAGCTAACTTTACGATGCCAGTGCAACAAACAGAAAAGCCACCTGGAACTTAAATGCACTGAGAGATAATCTGACATCATAAGACTTTAAGCACAATAAACTGTTTAAAGTCGCCGATTCGATTTCCCCCCTCTTAGCCCCCTTAAGTTGGGTCATCATTTCCAGGTTTTGAGTAAGACGTAAAATTAGGATATTTTATTCCCAAATATCTCTGATGAGCAACCGCTTATCTTTATAACTTTTGCATGAGTAGTTAAAGCCATCACTTAAGTTGAGAAAAAGATCATAAAAAGTTTGGGCAATTCACTTTCTTCCATGAGTTGACATAAACTGTTCATGTGACTGAACGACTTTTGCATATTTCATCAAAATTCAGGCCCTCACAATATTCGTGTGTTTGCCTTTGAATGAGGAGAAATCGAACAAAAAAACTCATAGGACAATGATTTAACATTAATAAGGGTAAATTCATAAAAATTGTTGTGCAAGAAACGCTAACGATGATTTTTGATAGCTATATACGCGATCTTTTCATGTAAAAACAACATACAAAGATTTAATTCACAGTTCTACTTACTTTAACAATTTCGCCCTAAAAACAATATAAACGATCAATAAAATCCATATACGTATCTCTTAGATGTCTCAACTGCTAGTTTGTGCCCGCTTTGATTTGTTCTTCATGCCACCTTCGATGTCCAGTTCAGCGTAGTTCACCGTCGTGACTCGCTGTACGACTAAAATTCCTTAGCCATCAGTTCACGCACCAAAATCCAAATCAAGTTGTTTTAGGACAAAACAATACGAAAGGTAAAAAGCCGATTCTTAACCCATTGAAAGAATTATTTCTGCCACTGTTGTAGCTCAATTCACTTGTTGCAAACGTCCGACATCTTTGACATTATATGGAGCCCGTTTTTTAAGCAGCGGTTGCCACCACACGGAAACACTGTATCGGGAGTCAGGAACCAGGAGCCAGGAGCCAGAGTTCAGTGAACAAAATGATTTTCCGACATTCTCTGAGATTATTTTATTGTTATTGTATGCTGATAAATAATTAAGAATTCCAAATCTTTTGGCAACTTTATTCAGACCATGATTATAAATGATCCCATGTCTTCTCAAACTCGGAGAGAGAAGTCGTTTTGTCTTCGTGTTTTTCAAAGAACTATTTGTTCTATTTTAGTTGCACGTGAAATAGCAGCGAAGTGAAGTCGGATGTTGGTGTAGACCAGTTCAAAGAGACAAATAAAGCGTGAGACACGTCCAGATTGGCTTGCGACAAGAATTCCATTTTTTTTTCATACTGGAGTCCCTTCTCCCCGGGGGAGTGTCCAAATTGCGTACAAATGCCCTACCCTGCTGGCACCAGATTTGACTGTCATAAACAGTGATTTTTTTTATCTCGCACGGTCTTTTGGGGGTCTTATAAAGCTTAACTGTGGCACTAATGTTCCCAAGTAGAATTCAAAATACACCACACTTTCACATTGAGTTAGATATTTTTCTCAAAGAACCGCTTCCATATGTTTAACACCCTTCCCACATTCCCTCCGAGAGATACGGTCTGACTACAAAAAGGGCTATTATGGACCATTATTATCATGGTAATTAATGTTATGTCAACATCGAATAAACTCAAAATTTCAAGTAACACGACTTTCACAACCTATTTTCAACACACCAGTTATAACAGGATATTGGGGCGTACAACAATGGATAGCGTATTCCGCATTCCGGAGTCCGGTAATCCGGCGTCACAGATTCAATCTTTTTGGCAGAGTCTAAAGTCAAAGATGGA